TCAACACAATATTGTTTTTTTTTTTAATACTTCGCCCACTGGAGATATTCCCGTTTAGCGATTTTATATATTTGATCTCTTTTTTTGCAAAATTCAATTGAATTAACTTAACCATGCAACTAAAAATAACTGAAGAAACATTTTTTTTTATTCCACTGCATGTTGTATTCCACTTGCATATTTATATGCACATGTATATTTCAATTCTGTTTTGCAAACTAAAAAATATGTTACGAGACATTCAATTACGAGATGTAATAATTCGAGAATAATTTTAGATAGATATTTTTTTAAATTATGAAAGTTAATTCTACTTTATAAACTATAAAATATTTTACAACGCGTTCAGTTACGAGACATAATTCGAAAATTTTATAGCTTTTTGTTAATAAGACTAAATATATAAGCATCACGAAAGTACTAATCGGTATCAGCACTGTGAGTTATGCGACGTAGCAGTTATTCGAAAGAATATTTTATTTAATGATAATAGAGGAACTCATTACGGAATTAAATATAAATACATTTTATTTTAATCTTCATTAACGGTAATGCTTGGACGAATATTACGGAAACAAAATGTTCGTTTTCTGATGTGATAGAAATTGCGATATTTTATTACTTTTGTAATATCGGCAATGTAAGAGAATTGTTATTTTAACTTGCCCTATATATCTTTGGATCGTTATAATGTAAAATTATTCCACGAACATATTGCAATTGTGAAAAAAATTTTTCGATTTTAGCTATTTTTCGCGAATTTGTTATTCAAGATATCGTGATTTTATATAGATGTTACGATCGATGTGTCACGTTTGTATTATCCGGCCAGAGAGAGCATTAATGCGCTTAAATGGCCCGAATGAAATAATCGCATTTCGCTGTTTTATCTCAATATTGGTTAAATATGAGCCGAGAGACCGTAATTCAGCCGCGACCCACATTCGGCGAGACGCGGAAATCGGGATTGAGACTCGCGGTTCTGACATAAAGGTCAAGTGTCCATTGAAAATCAGTCAGATTCGGCAGCAATCTGACGTCATACAAATGGCACACCACTACGAGACGTGAGATTATCATATTTTATCAAGATTTATCAATCCCGCTCGCTCGAATTGAATAAAAGAATCGCGTGTTTTATATTGTCGGACGCGCAACAACTCGCCGTTTTGTAATCCGCGATGCGATTCGCTAAACGCGCCGGACAACGCCGTGTAACCAGCGCGAATTAGAGCCTAATTAATTTTAATGCCGCGATTGTCGGTTGCGCGACTGCAAATTGCTTGAATAACCCAGTTTGCGCTTGCTCTTTCAGCTGCATCAGATTTTCGCGCGCGCGATTCATGCATTAGAAAGACTGTAATTACATGTTTTTTTGCATTCTTAAATATATAAAGCAACATTGCATCTGCACAAAGCTAATTACAGAATATAAAATTTCATTTCATTAGAATGTATTCGTAGATCGAATATAGTTGTATAGATGCTGCAAATAAGTAACATCAATCATAGAATATCCGAGAATTTATAGAAGTATAAGTTTTCAACGACAATTGCGATATTGTCACTCCGCGCACCGAGAGCCGGCATCATCATTTCGCTATCGCGATTCAGTCTGATCGCTTTCAAATCGACGACAATGCGAGCTTTCGCGGCAAGCTTATGACATTGAACATCGGGACGCAGTGCTTGAAACTGATGTGAGTCTATGACCCGAGAACGCCTGACCTCTTTTTGCCGCGAGAGTATTAGAAACGCCGTTTTTCATCTTTCTCGCGTTGAAAAAGATCTCGTTTCATATCTGGGGCGTTTTATACATCTGTGACATTTTATACGTCTGGAAAATTTTCTGAAAATATCTTCGAGCTGAGCTATGTTGATCCCAAGCAATTGTAGAAAACGTGCGGTTGAGAACTGGAAAGGGAGAAGAGGGAGAAAGAGTAAGTAATGCTGAGGAAATCCCCACGAGTGTCTGGCTTTGATTTATCTGCCTCTGTGTATTTGATCGAGCGGGATACACAGGTGTCAGCCGCAGGTGTCTAAGAGCCGCAGCTGTCTATCGCGCCGACGGATCTACGTCGGTTCGCGTTATCACGGCGGAGTGCGTATAACAACCCCAATTAATAAGCCCACCGTCGGTGTCCCGCTTAATGTCATAGTACAGCCGGTAATTTAAGGGTCGATCGATCCTTCCACAAACTCTCCCGGATTCGGCAGCTCGCGACAGGATGGGATGGATTTCCAGGTCAAAAGGTCACGGGGCGTTCGCGAGCGGCGCGCAGGCAAGCAACATCCAGTATACAATATTGAGAATTCAGCTTTCAGAACGGCCTCGTTTTCTAACCGTCCGCATGCGCCTGAATTTCGCGTGACGTGTGTCCTTTTCTCCCCCCCTCCCTCCCTCCCTCTCTCCCAACCCCTGTCGACCCCATGGGTCGCCGAGGGTTACGTTTGTTCATAAAATATGTATGGCGCGTGTATATATACGGTCGCCCCAAGAGACTTAGCAAAGGCGAGAGGGGGTGGATCATTCCTGGAAATACGGCTCGTTTTTTTCCTCGTCGCGCAATATGAGAGTGACCAAGGCGAAAGAGAAAGAGATGATTTAAGCCTGGCTATAGGTTGGCCCCGCTCATCTTATATTTGCCCATATCTTAGAAAAAACTGATGAAAAGAACATTGTCGACGATTCAGACTACATGGATTCACCTGAAGATGGATTTCGTAATCAGCGAAAGCCTCAACACGAACTTTGTATTGGAATGTCTGGGCCGGGCGGTGAATTACACATTGTTGTTCAGTAACGCGGATTGAAATAATTATCGACGAGCTCGTTACGCGAGTTACGTGTTCAACCGGCGTGAAAATTTTTCTCACATTTTTATCAACGCCAAGGACGCGCCGGGCGATGGTATCAGGTGTCTCAGTTCGCGTATGCAGGTGTCGTGAGAGTTCGTGTTCAACTACGTCTAAATGAATTAAGTGGAGCGTATCCGCGTCGTGTCTGACCCAGTTGAAGGTGCGTGCTTAGATATCTCTCTATTATCTTTAGGTGTACCCAAGGCCGTGAGAGAAAGAGAGAGAGAAAACGGCATGATTAACAATGGAAACTGTTAATGTGAATTAAAATTGTTTCACTTTGAATGCCAAGTATTTACAAAGCGAGACAAAATCAAAGAGGCGACAGGCTCTTTAGGTATTCGAAAAAAACCAATCTCAAAGTTGAAATAGTTCAATTTAAGCTGATTTAGTAATTTTTTTGTATTTTAATTTCAATTAATTCAGTAAACTTCTTACGTTTAAAAAAAAAACTTGGCTGCTCCGACATTCGCGACCATAAAATCGAAAGAATGCGAGAACGACACGTTCTTTACATACCCGAGAAAATCAATTTCAAAGTTGAAAAATTTCTATTTAAGCTGATTTAATAATTTTTTTTATATTTTAATTTCAATTAATTCAGTAGTATTCTCATGTGTTCTTAAAAACTAGACTATTTTAATATTTGTAACCGAGATAAAATCGAGAATGACACACTCTTTACATATTCGAGAAAATCAATCTCAAAGTTGAAAAAGTAGGCTAATTTTGTTCAAATATCTCGATTTGAATTAATTCAGTAATCGTCTTATGTTTCAAAAAACTTGGTTGCTCCGTTATTCGCAGCCATAAAATCGAAAGAATACAAGAACGATAAGCTCTTTACATACTCGAGAAAATGAATCTCAAAGTTGAGAAAGCTCAGAATTTAAGCTGCTTTAGTATTTTTTTTTTTTTAATTTGAATTAGAATGAATTCAGTAGTATTCTCTTGTATTTCAAAAAACTTAACTATTCCGGTATTTGCAGGTGGAATAAAATCGAGAGAGTGCGAGGATGACACGCTCTTGAAAGTACTTGAGAAAATCAATCTCAAAGTTAAGAAAATTCAATTTAAACTGTTTTAGCTGTAATTCCCTCAAGTATTTTAATTTAAATTAATTCAGTAATGTTCTCGGGTTCCTAAAAAAAAAGGGCGTTCTACCGTTATAATGAGCTACTCGATTTAATTTGTATCCCGCTTCTGGCTATTTTTCTCATCGAATGTTTTCGAGAGTCGGATTCGAGGGAAGAGGATGTATCGTACCGAAAATAATCAGTCACTCGCATCGCGACGAGATGATAAATGGACCGTGTTATCCGGTGACGATGATTAATTGACGCACGTGAAGGACGCGCGCAAAAAAAAATTGAGAGAAGGGTAGCTCTTCCCGCGATTCGGTAGTTGCGACGCAGTTCGTCTTTCGAAAGAACGAATATTCGCTGTGTGCTACAAGGAAAGTCCATTAACGCTATTACCCCTCGCCTTTACCTTTCACCTTTTACACCGGCGCAATCCCTCGCGGAATATAAGATGATTTGCGATGCGGTTCGCGATTATGTTACACGTAATAATCGTGCTTCACGGGCTAATGCCGGGAGCGTGAGCCCCCACGATGCTTGCGCGAGCACTTAGCATAGAAATAAGTTATCCGTGCCGGTATTATCTATCGGATGTTGTCTCTGTTAATTCTGCTGAGTTACTTCGAACAATAACCGGCGGCCAGGAACGGTTCGGTGGCTGCATAACAATTGCACGGACAATCGCGCCGTTAAAATCAATTAAGCACAGTTATTGAAGAGAGGATTTACGGGCATTACGCGGCCCCGACCGGCGTAATATTGCAACCGCCAAATGGGATCGCAAATGCGATTTGCCGCGCTCGCGTGTACGATAGGACACGGTGTTTTATCCCGTCACTCTGCGCGGAAAGTACAATACGTCGCCGCGATTGTATTTATCACGGGCGTTTCTTTTTCATTTTCCGCGCGATGAATAGGTCGACTGGCTAGGCGGCGCACACAAAGCGGTCGGCCGCGTTCGAATTTCGATATCGCGATTCGTGGAATAATAGCGGGTGAGAGTGGCTGTACAAAAGGGGCACTCGCCGACCGACGGCCGATCGACAGGCCCGATCTCACCTGACATTCAAAACGTCGACGTGACGATGTGTTGCATGGTGTGGTTCGTTTTTTTTTTTTTTTTTTTTTTTGTTCCACTCGGTGAATCTAACACCCACGTCCGATCGACGGGACTGGAAAAGTGGCTGCGACAATAAAGTAAACACCAATTGGTGTGTCAGAGAGTGAGGTCCTTCGCCCACATTTCATCAATAATTCCCACGATTTCCATTGATGTCCAATCTCCGAGATAAAATCAGGATTCGAGGGACGATCGTCGTCATCATCGTCTTCGTAGACCTGATAAAAAGTTCAATCAGTCGAGATAGGTTCTCATATTGATGCGATTCTCTGAGTATGTAGAAAACTATTTCATTTATTATTAAGTACCCTAAGTTTTTTACTATAAATTTCTGTGAATTGTAAATATTTAAAGAATTCTTCGGGGATAACTTATAAGGTCTAGACTGCCTTATCGACAAAATGATATACTTGATAAAATATTGATTGATCATAAAAAAACTGGGAAGTCACGATTACTATTTTAGATGTTTGTCGTCTTCTAGCGGACAAAAAGAACTGCCTCCTGTGAGGTTTGAACTCACGACCCCTGGTTTACGAGACCAGTGCTCTACCACTGAGCTAAAGAGGCATCTTGCCTCGCAAAGGGTCAACATCCTCCCTTCAGGTGGACACTTGTCAATAATTATCACTTAACCTGTAAATTGCATGAGAGTTGCAAAAAGCATTTCGGGCATCGGTGCTTCACGTAAACATAATTGTGCTCGATTAAGAAAACGCACCTGAATATATATCCATCCATCTTGTTTTTACCCTCCAGCGAATACTCGAACTAATAACTTTCCTTCAATCTGGAAAGTGAAAACCAAGAGAAAACTTTCGCAGGAACGAAAGTGAAAAGCGGAAAAGTTTGCGGACTAACAATCACGCGATTCTTACTCACAGCATTGAACGGCAAGCGCAGCCATCCGGAATCATGTATCAGCAAGAATAATGAAATATTTCGGAAAATATCTTTTTACTTTGCGAAGCGAACAAGTTGCATTCTTCGGCGGAGCATGAAGTGTGTCGCGTAAAATTTTCAAACTCCACCAGCGTGAGCAACCCTGTCGGGAGATGGCGCTTGTGGACACATCCTGCCTGCCGCCGTGTCTACCTGTCAATAATACGACACGTGCGGCTCGCTTCGCGGGACATTGTTCAGCGACGGATAAGCGCGCGATAACGCCCCGCGGTAAGGCCGGCCGAGTGTGTATTGACAGCCACACGTTTGGCGCGTCGCGTCGGTGTATTGACAGTGCGAGTCGGCGCGATCTCGTCGGGGCGGCGTGGGAAAACGGCGCGTCGGCGTCGGTGGACAATGGTGTACACGTGGTGTCGCGCGGCGGTGTGATACGCCGGCGGCGGCGACGACGAAATGTTCGGCCGGCTAGCGAGCGAACAATGCACGCGCGCGGGGTATTTATAAACGGGACTTGACGACGTACGGCGGCGTAACGTATGTCGCGGAAAGTGGGACACGCTATCCGCGCTAGAAGTGAACATTCTCGACCGGGAAGAAACGAGCCGATGCATCGCGTCGGTCGTCGCAGTCGTCTGTACCGGCGAACTTGTAGACGCGCTTCTCCGCGGCCGTGTCGTATGACATATTGCAGCAAGCCGGCCGAACTGGCGATACGCTCGTTGTGCGAGTGAACTTTGCTAGGAAAAATCGTATGTGTTACGCGAATGACACCGTCGCTGTCGCCGCTGCCGCGTCGCGAGTTGCAGTTCAAATGTCTTCGAAACAACGGAAAGCACGTACCCGATTCAAGGTATCCGCTTGATTGAATTTGCAAAGCCACGTCTAGTGTCTCTGCTCTATTTGCGAGATATAAAAAGGAGCAGCGGGAATGCGACTATCGCGGTGTAATCGAGTTTTGGCATAGTTTGCTTCTGAATTTCCAATCAATGTTGCGAGACGATAGAACAAATTTCGCATACGCGCAGTAGCTCTGCTGCTAGCAGACGATCTTAAGTCTCAGTAGTGTATATATTCGATTGCAATAAAAGGTATGAGAGCCTTTTAAAAAAAATTTTAAATATTGAAATACGAATAGTGAAATTAACAAATACTTTATTACATTTGTAATATTAATGATATGCGCTTAACATATTATTTTATATATTTTACATATTATTAGCACAAGTAATATTAAAAAATACGAAAAATTTTTAGAAACCTCAAGAAGTGCTCTTTGTGTAGTTTGTGGGTATGAAATTGTCGAGATTAGGCACGTGATCGTAGCTTTTGTATATGTACAAAAATCCCGCCTAAATTTATTTCTCATTTCGTAGTACTTTGTAATTTTCGCAAAATAAATTAAATAAATGTAATAGAATTGGAGAAAATTGAATCTGTTAATTTATAAATAATATACATTTTGTTCCCTTTTCCATTTTTAAATCCAATTTATTTCAAATCAAGCCAAATTATTCTCCTTTTCAGTTCCATCTAAGTTTTCTTGAATTAGCTCTTCATTATTGCTTTCATTATTGTCGGTTGAATCGCCATCAGAACTTAAAACTGTTTGTCATTAAGTAAAAATTGTATAGAGTCTTGTTATAATAACTCAATTTTTGAAAAATGTAATTTAACATAGTATACCTCTGAGATGCACATATTACTTTGTATTGCAAATTATACATATAATTTAATAATATTGTGTCCCTTTTAATATAATTGCCAAGTATTATTATGTTATAACTAATGTAATAATGTCTCTTGTGTATTAGATAACAGCTCCTCTTCGGACATTATTTCTCTGTGGTAAAATAGACCAGATATGGAGGAGTGGCTGAACACATTAAAAACAGCGGCAGAAACTCATCCCCAGGGTGATCCTGAAACTGTCGAGTTGCCACGAGGTAATCATCAGTGGTATGCACACAGTCATGCCAGACCTACATACTGCAATGTCTGCAGAGACACTCTGCATGGTAAGGAATTATTATATCTTTTAATTCATCTTTTAATTAACAATTTAATTTTATTTGTTATAATTACAAAGGTGATAATTACATTTGTAAAATGATTGTTACAGGTGTCACTTCTCATGGTTTAAGCTGTGAAGTCTGTAAATGTAAAGTGCACAAAAGATGCAGCGCAAAAGCAATAAATAATTGCAAGTGGACCACTTTAGCATCCGTTGGAAAAGACATAATTGAAGACCAAGATGGGGTGTGTAAAATTTGATCAAAAAATCTTTTTAACAAATAAAGATGTAATTTTAATTATATATTCCAACATTTTACATGTCACACAATTCTTGTAGAACTTATTTTCACATTAATTTTTATTCTAGAACATTACAATGCCACATCAATGGATGGAGGGAAATCTGCCAGTGTCTTCAAAATGTTTTGTCTGTGAAAAGACATGTGGCTCTGTGCTTAGGTAGTTAAACACTTCAACACGTTACATAAGAAATTGATATAGTGTTGAGCAAACATCATTAAAATCGACGGATTGTTTACAGGCTGCAGGATTGGCGGTGTTTATGGTGTAAAGCAACTGTACACACAGCGTGCAGACCTGCCATAAGTATTAGGTGTCCATTAGGACCAGCTAAACTCAGTGTAGTGCCTCCTACGGCCTTACATAGTATAGGTAATCATGCCATCCACTCGTATTACGAATCTTGATTCGTTGAATTATTTGAATATAATTAGTAACTGTACATACGATTAATGATTATCAGGTACCGACGAAGCGTGGGAAGTTGTTAGACCTATAGGATGCAGTCCACTTTTAGTATATGTAAATAGTAAATCTGGTGACAATCAAGGTATTAAGTTTCTTAGGAGATTTAAGCAATTATTGAATCCTGCACAAGTTTTCGATCTTATAAAAGGGGGACCAAGTCCAGGGTGAGTAGATTTTTATTTATACTAATGACAATTAATCGATCTGTGATGTTATTAATCATAGCCAGGTACATACATGAACATAATGAATATATGAATCTGTGTTTTGCTCAGATTAAGGCTGTTCCGCCACTTTGATCCGTTTCGGATTCTAGTGTGCAGCGGAGATGGATCTGTAGGATGGGTACTTTCGGAAATCGACCGGCTTGGAATGAACGTGAGTAAGCGTGATTTACGATTAAAAATTTTTTTTATTTGCATAATTTCTTAACAATTGTGCTTTTTTATTTTTATTAAAAATGCACTGTTTAAATTACAGCTAATTGATTTTTTCAAATTGTTAATTAATATATATTGTTAAACATACTTGTAATGTAATAGAAATATATATTTCTATTTAATTTGCAGAAACAGTGCCAAGTTGGAGTACTGCCTTTAGGGACAGGGAATGACTTAGCACGCGTGTTAGGTTGGGGAGCGTCGTGTGACGACGATACGCATTTACCTCAGTTGCTAGAAAAGTATGAAAAAGCAAGCACTAAAATGCTGGATCGATGGAGCATTATGACGTTCGAACGCAGCATATCTCTGCCATGTCATAAAGTGATTCTGCATCAGTCCGATCTGGTGATAAAATCGAGCGTAGCTCATCAATACGAAGACAGCGTTCTTGCTCATATAACGAACATTTTACAATCCGATCAAGAGTGCGTGATTATATCTACTGCCAAGTGAGTAATTCAGTTACGTGTATATGTATGTGATTGTATGATTACACAAGCTTCAAGCTTTGGCATCTGAACCGAAATTTCCCTCCCACAGAGCTTTATGTGAAACAGTAAAAGATTTTGCTACGCATATACTGAAAGCCAGTTTAAACACAGGGGACCAACATCTGCGGGAAAAATGCGAAGTACTTCAGCAAAAACTTGACCTATTATTGCAGACATTGTCGAAAGAGGAGAGCTATTTATCTGATAACGCGGAAGAAACTGACATTACCACTCTAAAAACCGAGATTGCGACCGACAACCAAGAGAAAGAGGCTTTAGAAAAGTCAAAGAAAGAAATGGCAAATGTAAAGAAAGCCGGAAATAAATGTTACATGGAGAAAGATGCTGTGATGTCTAGGTATGGAATGTACATTTATAATTCTACACTAAAGTAAATTACAGAAAAATAGATACATGTTTTTTTAATGACGTTTAGAGCAAATAGCTTGAAAAGAGCTATCAGGGGATTAGTGGAACACGTGGAATCGGCTATCGACGAACAGAACAATCCTTTAGACGAGAAACAAGATAGTAGGATGCCAAACATCACCATAACATCGGATAATTCTCCGATAAATACTGCATCAAGTAAGACTCTTTATATTCAGACAATAATGAATTGTATACTTTGTCGTATACTTTGTCTCTATACTGTATTTTTATATTTTTTTAGACAAAAAACAGCATTTGATTATCTCTAGCTTATTGCAAGTGCACGAAGCCGACAACATGAGTTTAATGCCAATTGAATCCGCCAGCAGTTTGGAGACCTCGCCTTGCCCAAGTCCTACGCCTAACGTGGCATCTTTGAGCCCGATGCCGGATTTAAGAAGGGACTCGCAGCCCGAAGAGTTACTCACGCTTCCCGCGCCCGACGGATTCGCCGATAGTAGGCGAAACAGCGAAAACATCCCGCAAGGGTAATCTTTCCACAATCCGCACATCTCACGGTGTTTGATTGGTACCTGGATTCTAAAAGTTATATCTATCCCGATTTAATTTTAGAACTTTCAGTTTCGACGCACCCGCCGTTCAAACTAACGACGGCCAGCAAGAAGCGCAGACAACAAGTAACGACAATCTGCAGTCGTCCGAACCCACACAGATCGAAGGTTCCTCTGACATTCCAATAACCGTGACGAAGACTACTTTAGACACAAGTACACCATCAGACGACGCGACCATGCAAGACATTCTCGTTTCTCCTGACACAGATTCGCTCCATTCTAGAAATATCTCGCCAGAGCATGTGCAAAAGTCGATGGAGCCGAAGCCGAATGCCAGAGGTAGCTGTACTAACAGCATCATCAGCACGGACAGCATAGTCTCCGAAACCTTGGATTCCAAGAGCTACACCGTCCGGAATAGCGAGAGTGAAATTGGTAAGTGGACACGCGCCGATGCGATAAACGTTGCCCGGTATGTATTTTGCTATCTAATTATTAGATAATTTCTCTCACACTTTTTAGGACATATAGACAGCGATATATTCGATTCCACGAAGAGATCGGAGAGCTCGGAGATCGCGCACATCGACTCGCCGGACAACTCCGACATGCTGTTCAGCGAGATGCAGCATTCGGAAAGCGGCTTGGAGGATTTGAGCTCTCTCAGGCAGGACGTGATTAGCGCGATAATGGGCGAGAAGTACGACTCCGTCAGGGAAGGCTTGCAGATCGAGGAACCGCATCGATCTTGCGTTTTGGCGCAGTTCGACGCGGGAAATGACATCGCGAGACAATCGTTCAAGAGAGTTTCGAAGAATATAAAATCGGATAAAGAGGTGATTATTAATATATTACTGTGTAGAAAATTAAAGAATTCTCAGAGATTCCAAACTTTGAGCAGTTGCCCTGTGTTGATTTCTTGAAATCGAAGATCTGAAATTAATATGTAACCTTTACAGGCAATGCTGAGTAAATACAAAACGGACGGTTTGACAACGTGTGTGCGCATGTCGGCGACTAAATCCATGGAAATGAATGTGATACCTGTGATGAAGTTCGAAGATGTCGAGGAGGAAAAAGCGCCCAATTTGTTGAGTCCGGTGTGCTGCTTCACCGTCTCGTCGGACAACACGCAGGCCAATGAAAAGTGTCCCGCGAGTTTTCCGCCGCAAATCAGTGTTATCATCGATCCACCTAGCCCGTCGCTGTCGATCGAAAGCCATCAAAAATTCGATTTAGATTACAAACTGGATCCGCAGGACAAACAATATTGCAGCGGCGGCAGTATGGAAAGATGTAAGTCCAACTAGATGAAATATCGTTACACGATACGTATACTTTAATGATTTCTCTCAAATAATGCGCAGTAAGCGTGGAGCTGCCTGAATCAGGCTTCTCGCCGCAAGCTACACGGCGTATCAGCAGTGGCAGTTTATTCAAGGCGTCATCCGAAGTCGTGTCGTTGGCAGCCACTGCCGCTCGTCTCGGCGGTTCAAGTCTGAGTTTGCGCCACGAAAGGGCAAAATCTGTGGACAAAACGGACGACGTGAAGAAGCTTCCGATAATAAACCCTCTGGTCCGGCTGCCTATGTGGCCGAGTGAGTTAGAAGTGCAACGTCAAAATTTAATCTTTTTTTCAACATGACGCAATTATTCATGTGTGTAAACATTTGTAGACGTAAGTGGCGCAGCTGGTCTCATCAGTCAAGCGTTGCTGGCGAACGCGGACGCTCTCTGTGCAGCAGTATCGCCATTGATGGATCCGGATGAGTCACTGATGTAAGTCGTATACTTTACGATATATAATTAGCAGACGGTTCGATACATTTTATTCTGTACCGCAGGGAGGGTTACTTCGAACGGTGCGTCATGAACAATTACTTCGGAATCGGCATAGACGCGAAAATCACTCTCGACTTCCACAACAAGAGGGAAGAGCACCCTGAGAAATGTCGCTCGCGCGCTAGGAATTACATGTGGTACGGCGTTCTGGGATCTAAAGAATGGTTGCAGAAGACTTACAAAAACCTCGAGCAAAGAATACAGCTAGAGTGTGACGGCCAAAGGATACCGCTGCCCTCTCTGCAAGGGATCGTCGTGTTAAATATACCAAGGTAATCACGAAATAGATAATGAACATATCTGCGCGCGATTTTCGACGATCTGATGCAAGATTTTCATGCGCAGCTTTATGGGCGGCACGAACTTCTGGGGCGGCACGAAAGAGGGAGATTTATTCTTAGCGCCGTCGTTCGACGACCGGATATTGGAAGTCGTGGCGGTTTTCGGATCTGTTCAAATGGCAGCTTCGCGGCTTATTAATCTGCAACACCACCGGATAGCTCAATGCCAGACAGTTCAGATTAACATCTTGGGCGAAGAAGGTGTTCCTGTACAGGTCGACGGTGAGGCTTGGATCCAACCGCCGGGCATCGTGAGAATTATACATAAGAATCGCATGCAGATGCTCTACAGAAATAGGGTAAATACCGTCGTGATTCCTTCGTAATGAAAACAGTTCCGAATTTGCGTGTAATTGAAAAAAAATCCTTGTCTCAGGCGCTCGAGACTTCACTGAGAGCGTGGGAGGAAAAACAGCGGAACACATTGAGCGCCGTGACTCAATCTAGCTCCACATTGACCAGCACGTGGCAATCGCAGCCTAGAGCACAGTTGCAAACGTGCAATAAATCTTCCCAGTTGAACGACGAGGAGCTTAATATTCTGTTCAATTTCATTGACGCAGTGACGACTCTGGTCAAGTGGGTAAAGCTGCTGATTATATCGCACCCGAATCTGAAACCGGACCTCTATCAAATTGCCTCGCGAACGGCAAACGCGCTTGAACAGGTGCACCCGGACGGTAAAATCCTGCAAGGGGTAGGTGATAAGATATATATAAAATGATCAGGGAAGAAAATTCTGATAGTTTGCGCTTACACTCGCTTTATTCCACAGATAAGCTTGAGACAGATGGTGACTGAGTTGGTGTCGAGCGCGCGACAGTTGTACGAAGAATCTTGCGAATTGTTGCGCGACAAAGCCCACAACTTGGTAAGTATTTTGGGTGTTGCGAAATATTAACGAATTTATTTGCTACGAAATCTAATTAATTACGATAAAATAAATAAAATAAATTACAAAAATTAATCTTTATGTAAAAAAATGTAGAGATTGCGAGAGGATTTGGAAAACAAGCTGTCCTTGTCTTTGGCTAGCATGGAGCAGGAATTACGAAAGTGTATCTTTGACGAAGGAGGCACAGGACTGGTCTACTTGCAAAACGTTTCCGCAGACGATCAGGTATAGTTCTTCCATATGTTTTATGCAATGCTATTTCGAAGTCAATTCTTTGAAGATACGAGTTTTGAAAATAACTATTCTCACATTTCTGTTATGTATCTTGCATTGTGATAAAGTTTACATATACATTTTGTGATATATATATTTATATTTCATGGGATAATAATATATTCATTAAATTTAATACTACGCATAAGAGCTTGGTTTCATAAACATTTAACTGTCCGTTAACGCAATTTAGGGAATCAGATTAACTGGAAAAATACAAAATTCTTCTATTTACTATCTGACAAATTTTTCACTGAGCTATTAAGATACACGGACGGATTAAAGAAAAAGATGAAACCTCCTGTTCATATCATACTTTCTTCGTATTCGATATTCCATCTCGTTAACAAATGCAATAAGTATATTTAAAAAAAAAAAGGATTTAACGCGCAATATTTCGGTAAATAAATAAATATTGGAAATTAGCCGATTGGGTAACACATAAGTGTGTGATATTATGAAAGCACCTCTCTTTACATACATTCGACACAAAAACAATTTACAATCTCTTTTTCGAGACTATTTTATAATTCATTATGCCTAAATGTTGTTTTCAAATGATAATTAATTAACATTATCCTATGCTTTATTTCGGATTGATTGAGTGCTCAATCCCAGTGCTGGTAATACGCTTTTAAATCTTACTGCTTATGACGTTTAGAGAAATAGAATTAGCATTTTAGAGACTTGGTTTTGCAATGTAGCGAAATATATGATACGGATTATTTTTGTACGCGTGTTATGTATGCGTGTGCGTGCATGATTAGATGTTTTTATTTGTTTCATTCATGCTTGTGATTATACTTTTTAGTCCACAGTGAAACGCCACGTATATTATGTGATATTTAGCGGTAACTATTCAATTACATTAGCCGAGACAACACACTTCATGTGCACTTGCATTCTACGCAAATTTAACTTTTGCTTTTATCATCGCGTCTTTGTTGTGTCTCATGATTTCGTAAGAGACGACAGATTGCTGCACTGTTTGACTTAGCACTGTAAGAACGAGAGGGGAACTTTCGTGATTTTATATGAGCTTCATGAGAGATATGTATTTTATATGAGATGTATATGAAACTCTCTAAAGTACAGTAATAAACATAATGGAATATCTTATATATTGTCTTATTAATGCAATACCAAAGATGTATTCACCCGCGAGTTTAAGTCAATTTCGCGAACATAAGACGGCCGTAGACCATCCGAAAGCTACTTTGTGTGCCTGACGAGTCCGTTATCACGTAATCCCGAGTGCAATTATCCACCTGCATATTGATTATAGCATGTTTCTAACGTATGTCATATGAAATAGCGTATCGCTTTACTATGCGCTACTAATCTGACTAACCGTGCACTAACCAACGATCTCGACCTCTGGATCTACAGGGAGATAAAAAAAATCGTCATCGAGGATTGTTCTGGTTAAAGTTCCGTCGCTTCGCCGGCAACTCGAACGTCGCGGGTCATCCGGTGCGCGATCAAGTCACCACTTGGGGCGTACAAGAGGTGTGCGCCTGGCTGGAGAATCTGCAATTGGGAGAATACGCCGACAAATTCGTGTCTCACGATATACGCGGTAGGGAGCTGTTATCTCTAGCTCGCCGAGATCTAAAGGAGCTGGGTATCACCAAAGTGGGGCACGTTAAACGCATCTTACAAGCTATCAATGACTTAAATAGCTGAGTTGCACAGACTCACGAAACTCCGGGGGCGAAGGATTGAATGAGGAATACTCGCTCCTACAATTCCAATCAATTTCTAATTCTTTTTCAAAGATATATTGTATAAGTTAAGTTATCGAATGTAATATTGTACATATTGTACATTTATGAATGTAATAATAATAACTATGGAAAGATGAATGAAAGAACAGTATTGTATATATAATTTTTATACACATTTTATTGTACATAGAATAAATAATTGAACGACTGAGTTAAGATATGAGATGTAAGAAAAATCATGTAATAAATATATTATTTAATAAATAAATAATGGAGATAAGTACTTAATAATTCTATGCAATAATGATTACATTAATTTTGAATAAAAATCGTATTGTAAACAGTTGTCATTGTTATTCGACTTCTCCTTGTATTATATTTCTAATTAATTTTCATAATTTTGAAATTTATCAACGAAAATATAATAATTACAAGAAAAATGTGAAGTTTTCGATAGTTTAAGAAGAAATCATTGTAAAATAAATCGGGATGTTCATTCAACTGTTGGGAAAGTGAAAGAAATTACTTCATATTGTGTATATTTGTAAAGCGAATTTTATTTCAGCAAAAGATATAGAAATATTAGTTTTTCAGACCGTCAAAAATATAGAAGTTATTGTGAGACACAAAAACGGAAATTTATATATGTTATAATGTAGACAAAATATCTCTTTCTCTCTCTCTCTCTCTCTCTCTCTCTCTCTCTCTCTCTTTATCTATAATTATCCCCATACTTCTATTCACCTATTATTTAACTATCTTATATATATAATTAATTACACATAAAATATGACTGTATCCATTGACTAGTATCCATTTCACATTATATGAAGAGCAGTAAGCTATAAGTCTTTATATTTTCTCCAACTGTTCAAATGCAATTATGTGGACATCAGTTTCATAAAGAATGCATGCAAATTGCAGAATTACTTCATACATACATTAATACGTGTACCTCTAATCCGTGTAGTACAAGTAATGCAATTAAACGATGTGTATAAATTCTCAAGAAACGCAGCGCTGTAATCGTAACAATGTTCTATCCTTTCCGAGAATTTCCATCATTTCAGCAACAGGTGGTCCAACCTGTAAAATATTACATTGATATTGATACACATCGATATATATCTGGTCCTGCAAAGAAAATAATATTTAAATGTTCAATATATTTACTTTTGCACCACTCAAAACGCTTCTCAGAATTTTCATCAAAATGGGAAACGGAATTCTATGCTTTTGGGCAAAATCTTCAAGATATGAAACCATCCAACAAGTCTGATAATTGATTGCATCTATTTCAGCTAATTCTGTGTTTAACAGTTTAATTGCGTCTGTAATAATGCAATAATTATGTATCAGAGTTCTAATAAATAAAGATTAGATAATACTTGTCAATAATGAAATAGTACCTGTGCAATTAACTTGTTCAATATTTGGCACAGAAGGTGGAACCCATAAAAAAGTTAGGTCCTTTTTGACAAGATCATTAAGCGTTGATATTCTGTTCTGTGCCCATTTTAATGTGGTGATTATGTGATGATCATCCAGTTGCAAACTTCCGTCATTTTTCCTAAGATAAAAAAATAATATATATAATAGAATTTCTTAAAAAAGAAATAATATTAACTATACTGCGCAAAATTAAACATACCGTTCTGGAAATGCTTCTAATACTAATTTCTTAATCTTTTCAATCAAAAATTCATGGTTCTTTTCATTTCTTGCCAAGTTTGCTATTTCCAGCTTATTGAATTCCAACAGTTTTTCAGGCATAAGTTTGCCAGAACTTGATTTTATTTTATTAACATCAAACTGTAATAAAAAATGAAATATATGTAAAAAGTAATAAATAAAAATTTTATTAGTATATAATAAGTTTTGTGTAGAACAACATTTTTACCCTTTTAATTAATTCTTGGTAACTGTAAAGATTTTGGTATTCCTTGTCTCCATGAAAACCACCACCAGCACCTATCACATAATTCAATAACGCTAAAGGAAAAATACCCTGCTTCCTAAATGACTCAATCTTTATGTCACCCTGTCTCTTCGACAACTTAGACCCATCAGCATTTAGTATTAAAGGTAAGTGCCCATATATAGGAGGATCCCAACCAAATGCTCTGTAATAAGTGTAATACATAATATGATCAAATATTATTATGTAAAACATTAAATATATTGTGCTGTCATAAAGCCACCTACTTATAAAGCATAATATGTTTGGGTGTAGAGACTTGCCATTCAACACCTCGCAAGACATGAGATATCTCCATAAAATGATCATCAACCACATTTGCAAAGTGATAAGTGGGATAGCCATCTGATTTTATAATAATTGGATCTCCTTCTGTTTTAGCAATGTCATGCAAAATTTCTCCATAAACTATATCGTTAAAGGATTCTGGTGTAGACGATAACTGAAATATTTACACAAACAGTTGTTATAAATCTACAATTCTGACTTGTCAAATTGTAAGTTTGGAAAAACATACTTTAAATCTAATGCAATAAGTTGAGTTTTTTCTAAACATTTCTTTCACTTCATCTTTACTGAAATGTCGACACCTGTTATCATATTTAGGTACTTGTCCACATTTCATTGCCTCTTTTCTTAACAATTCCAGTCTTTTCTCTGTGCAAAAACAATAGTAGGCAGATCCATTCTCTAGAAGTTTAAGTACTTGTTCCCTACAAATAAAAATAATTTTGCAGAATTAGAAAAAAATACAGAAAAAGAACTATCTAATTATTCATTTTATCTTAATATTTGATAAATGATCCATACTTATATAATTCAAGACGTGATGACTGTTTATAAGGACCAACAGGACCACCTCTGATAGGATCTTCTTCAGATATAATCCCTGCCCACAGTAAATCATCCTGAAGCTTTTCCATTGCTCCGGGAATGGTTCTTGTTTGATCAGTATCTTCTATTCTCAGAATAAAAGTGCCATTATTGCTACGTGCAAATAAATAATTGTACAAAGCAGTACGCAGTCCACCTAAGTGCAAATGACCTAAAACAACATGCGAATAAAAATTGACATATTAAATGTATGAGTGCCACGTATTTAATTAGTATTCTTTCAGTAGCAGAATCCAGTTATCGCTCCAAAAAAATATATTCATTAAAATTTACCGGTTGGACTCGGTGCGAATCTAACCCTAACATGATACTTTTTGAAGAAGCGCCTCTGTAATAGCTGGAAATTCACGATTTTAAGTATATTGCGCTGCATTTCTGTCGTCTATTGAAATGTACTCCAATTTTAATAAAATATCTTGCAGATCTACCGAACCGGTCATGCCATGCGACGAGAATTTCCGATGATAAAATCTTGCTCTGCCCACTTGTCCGCTTGCGTATTTCGAATCACATGTTGGATCCATGATTCATTGCGTTTTCAAACTCAACAATTTTAGCCAAGATTCAAACCATTTTAGCCAATATACAAACCATTCGGATAAAGTTTTTTTATTTGTTATGTAGAAATACTTTTAAATATTTACTTGAGATTTCGCAATAGTTAAGGTATATATAAATAATTCAAATTTAAAATACAAGGTATCCCAAACTTGGTGAAAAACATTTTGACAAAAAATGCTTTATTTTGTAGATTTATGAAATATAATTGATACATGTTTATTATTTGTTTGATCATATATCATTCATGTCATCGCTAGGGGGAAGATTAAAAAAAAATAAGAAAATTAGATTATATAAACTAAAAGAAAATATTGGTTGCTGTCACAAAATCGAATCCTTTAATTTTCTATTTTCTTTGCGTTTTACAAATATTACATTTAAATTCAATTCTCCGTTATGTGAAGAACCCATCGCCGATACATTGGATTTAAAGCATAAAAATTGTATGCTTTGCGTTGCACTTTATAAACTAATACCTTATGTGCAGATACCTAGTGATAATCTCACAGTCTCTTTTCTGTTTTCACATTTTCTCCTCGCAGTCTCTTCCGTTAATTAATATATTTACATTTCAGTTTAATTGTTAAAATAAAACACTGTATAAATGATAACACACATATTCAGGCGGAGATGACATTGTTTGCATGATTACTATGGTATACTTTACATTTCCTTTGCTAAGACAGACAATTTTTTAGTATATAAGTGTACAAGTAACTTGAAAAAATATTGCATTAAATAAGAAAATTATATAAAACTAAGCCGTCAATTGCACAATCAAATTCCGCATATGTGGTGAAACTTTTAAAAATAAAGTACAATTTCATTGTTTTATTATTATACTGTTATATTATTTTAACACCAAAATCTGAACAAACTCATTTAATTTGTTTAAAAGCACTTCAATGCACAAAATTATAAATTGTGTATTTGACATATAAAGTAATAAAAAGATTGAGCAAATTGTTTTATAAAATATAAAACTTTATACAAAATTTTTCTAAAAGCAGACTTATACATAATCTTCTGAACAAAAAATATTTTATACATAATGTGTGTATACATGATTTCCATATAGTTTCTCTCTTCTTTCTTAACAATGAAAATGAAAGTGATTAGGTGTTAATAAAAGAAATAAATATATATGTAGATATTTTAGTTACACAGGGAATTTGCTTCAGAGTTTTAATGAAAAATTTGGCATAAACTGAAAGGGACAGATTAGAGATCACGAATTGGAATGCTGAGATGGTGTGAGGCTACCAGTGTGCTCTGGACTGTGTTTCTGCTTTTTCCTTTTCTTCTCCTTCTTTCGCTTTTTCCTAGCCTCCTTCTCTTCATCGTGTCTCTTCTGCTTTTTGTGTTTCTTTTCATGTGTATCCGAACCACCTACATCTGTTGTGGTAGCCTCCTGTCCACTAAGCACTTCTCCAGGTTTATGTTTGTGTTTCTTATGTTTATTCTTGTGTTTTCTCTGAGGAGCCTGATTGACATATCTATACTGTTCCGGCAACTGTAAAGTTATATCATACAATTTAGTAATTTGTATTTTTTTTTAATATTCCATGTGTATTTTAACATATGAAAATATCTTACTGGGCCAGGATGCAATCGAAAACCAGCTAACTGCACACTTGTTAAGGGCAATAACTCTTTACCACCTATTGGAGGTTTTTCAATCACTGATCTTAACGAGCTAAAAAAAGGAAATAAAACATGAAAGATAAGGTTCAGAGGTTACGTTTAGTTTTTCTCAAATGCAAATTACCTATTATCTTGATGCCCAGGTCTATCTATAATACCTGGCAAGTTTGGCAAAAAAGATGATAGCTGTTCTTTGAGTTTTTTACCACTAAACTTGCTATAGGAATGTTCTAGGCCATAATAGGCCATTAAATTTGTTGCCCCAGTGAGTTCACTTTCTACTAAAAGTAACAACTTTCTTTAAGCAAGATATTTTAAAATACTTTGATTATAGATTGTTCACAAAGAAACTTGGATATATCTTATATGTAATTTAATTTATGTAAGATATAATTTCAATTCTTTTTCTTATTACCTGGAGGTTCCTTCATTAAGTAAAAAGGCCCACTGTGAACAATAGAAGGATTCTTCCCAAGGGAAATGGTTGCTTTTAGTGTTCCTGTAGAATCTTGACGAGATACAACTGGGGAACGTGCGCCTCTCGGCGAAGACTTTGGCGAATACTGCTCCACTTTGCTACGAAACTGGTCGCCCATCATCATCCTGCAGCTTTAGTTTATCACACTTTTAGCAAGAGTAATGTGGAACACCTTTGCACACAAAGAGTATAGTTTCTATGGACGTAGCCAGCGTCCAACAAACACTGTGGCCACTCGTCCACGTTTGATACTTGGCTCAATTAGAAATTTAATGCAACTTGCATTGCTTCATTGACGTACACCGGCTGTAGTATTGCAACACTAGTTCGAGATCACTTGTTGAATGGCGATTACACTCGCTAATAGAGAAATGCGTTGGCCACATCGTTACAACATCAGAAAATAGGCATTGGATTATTTTCAATTGTTCCGCGATACTTCGATAAAACGCGAAAACCAAATGCACATCGTCTGATCAATTGCTGTCATGCTTTCGTCACTTTCACTCGAAGATGATCATGCTCTACTCCGTGGACCGATTATGTAGTTCGTTTAATGCACCAAACTTCTCTTCTGTCTACTCTTGTTTTTTCCTTTAAATAATTATCTGCCTCGAATTGAAACACAATAGCATCTTTAATTGCAACAAACTATTATGTTCTATTACACTGACACAGCCGTTACGCGTGCCCTACTCATCATAGATCATATGTATTTCGTGCGAATACGCAAGAGAAGCATCACGGATGCACCAGCTGTTGAAAACCCTAGAAAAGAGACCCTAGAAATAGTTCTTTAGCATCTTATCTCTAGCACAAGATTATTAAGGAGAATTTACATTGCGTCCGATGCACATGATGCCAACATTAAATAGGAAAACATGTTTTCTAGAGAATTTATCCCATCATATATTCATCCCTAAAAAATAAGTTATTATTAATTTTTTTTATTTTTTTAAATGTTATTCTGTAATATTATTCTGTAAATAAATTTCTTAATTTTGTATAAAAAATTTCTTGCATTTTATGATTTCTGAGAAACAAATAACTATTGTAGATTAGGTTATGTCAAAAAGGTTAGAATATTCAATATCTGATGTTTTCTTGCGAGTGTAACAAAGTTAGGATTGAACATTCATGTGGTCATTTTTTCAAAAATATATGAAGATATCTTAAAATTATACAAAGGTAGTTAGAAAAAAGTGTTACGTTATGTAATTAAATTATTTCAAAAATAAATTTTGATTGTTTAAAAAGATAGAGTTTAAGTATAAAAATATATAAAATATGTGAACAAATTTAATATTAATATTTATGATTTTCTGTACAGATGAATCCTATATTACGTACAGTTCGAGCCTGTATTTATTCTGTGAGACATGTCAAATATAGTTCCTTGTCTTCAGAAGCAGTGATATTTACGGAAGATGATGCTATGGTTGTCTGCTGGCATCCAGAAAAACCGTTTCCATATGAATGTTCTTTACCTCTACCTGAGGAGAAACTCACTGACACTTCTGTATTGTGTATTGGAGACAAAGATGTTGCAGATGTTTTTCGAAAAAAGAAACCATATCAGGTTGTGGAAGAATTAGCAAAAATTACATATACTACTAAACACAGATGGTACCCTAGAAGCAGAGACAAGAAAGCAAAGAATACAGAACCCGACAGACCGTACTTGTAATGTCTGAAAGAGATTTAAAGGATGTCTTGGTCAAAAAGTATTTAATTTACACATGTAGTTATCTTTTTAAAAATATGTATTAATAAACATTGTACAAAGATAATTGTTAAATTTGCACATATAATTTGCTTACATGCTTTGTCCATTTTTTTTTTTAAAGATTTTATGTACGCGTCTTCTACATCAATGTCATACAAATTAGAAATAAATAAAATATTTTTCGTCCTTGTTATATATATAATAATTTTTGCTTTAAAAATATCTTACATATATCTATATACTTGATCAAATTGAACACATGATCATTCTATATATTGAAAATCAATTAAATCGAATAAAGCTTGGCTCAATATAAAAATTAATATTTTATCTAATTTTGTTATTCAATTAACCTAGATTTTCAGGGAAAAGTTGACTTTCACCTTCTTGCATAAAAATTTTCAAAGCTTTGTACAATAAATATCTACCAAATTTCTGTTTTTGTTGCATGCTCCATGTTGCTGCAATACCATAGTACTTGCCGCTTACACAGTTTCCTAATCGCTCTTTTCCTATTGCATCTATCATGGCAGCCTCTCTTGTGTAAGCTTCCACCGGAATAACATTTTGGAAAATGTGCAAACAAATTACACCGCAATTGTCGTTCCATATATCGAGAATGTGGCTAACTTTTCTACTTGTGTTAGGTCTGGTGCCTGTCCATGTATGAAAAGCGTCATAGAGATGATTAAAAGGTCTGGAACGTTTACCCTTGCCAATGTAAAATATAGCATTAAGAAAGATCGACCATATCTCAGATTCCGTAAGATTAGTAGAACGATTTGGTAAATTTTGTGTTATACGCGGATCCAACAGCAAGTAAGTGAAAGAAGCTTTTGCCATGCCCTCGCGCCATCGCCGAGATGGATCTGGCGATGAAAATTCTTGGAATACGTCTCTCTCCAGACTTTTGTAGATATCCAGTTCATTTAACCAGTTTCCAAACTGTAGACGAGTCTCGATTTCGTTGCTTGGGCCTACTTGAACCTGATTTCTTTGCATGTTTTGCGGCATCGATGGAACAGTAACATCTCTAATGTTTGTCAAACGCATAAGACGTTTTAAGTAAACTTGCCTAGTCGTATTGGTGATTGGACCGGGCTCATCACCAAGTTGTCTCAGCTTACTTCGAAGAGCTGCATCATCGATATATAACAGCTCCATCGGCAAAGTTTGAAAATCAAATGTGCTCGAAGTGCCTGTAAGATACAATATATTTTCCAATAAATATCCCATTAATAATTTTATAATTAGTAATATGTTGGTAATAGTTGTACACTAACTTACATGACAAGAATATTTTGCTTTTGCTGCTGCAATCACTTCCACTGAAAGTAATAAGAAATAATGAGCGATAAAAGAGAAAAAAAAAAAGGTTCGATAAATTTGTCCTTGGAACTGAAGATATGTGTTAAAAATTTAATTTAATAGATTAAACTCAAGAAACAGATTTTCAAGATAAATAACTAATCAAGATTCAACTCAACAGGCATGATAAGGAAGAAGAATTTTGTTTGTAACTGTGTGTGAACTTACTTAGATGATATAACGCAAAGTCGTCGTTCTAATAAAGTTACACCTTCTTCTGGATCTTCATATTTGTATTCCTCCAGAGTACTCACGTATGAAAGCAGAGACCTGTAATTCATAATACACAAGAAATTTTAATTAAGAGAAATACTGTTATTTAAAAATATTGTGCAATTCTTGCTTGGTTCAATACTCACGAGTTCTTTTCCATTTTGCACACATCTAAATTTATTGCGTTCGACATATCCTCTGCCTTTTTTGAATCAGTATTGTTCCTATTTATCTTTGAAGAACATGATTCCTCTGATAAACAAACATGTTTTTTGCATTTTATCGGCAAATTTGCAGTCGTCAATGCATTATTTTCTACAATTAATTTATATGAAAGTTCGTGAAATCTATCATTATACCAATTGTTTGTATGTATATTACAAGTCTTACTTATATTCATATTTATATCTTCGTTTAATAACTTTTTAGTATCACAGTCGACGCAATCCACAAAGTATTTTTTATGCAATGAATCAGTTTCAATTGTACATGCAGATTTTACATTATCGATGGAAATGTCCATTGTTTTCGGCATCTTATCAGTTTTTAAAATATATTTTTTTCTAATTCTTACAAGTTTTATCATCTATTTTATTATCTCTACAGATTGTATATTCTTATTGCTGCTAGAATTATTAATAGATTCGTTCTCTTTCTCCGTTTGATTAAAACTGCTGTTTAAAAGATTTACGTTACTGTTGTCGCATGTTATATCATCCTCATCGTATCTTCCATCATCCAACTTTATTGCCAAATGGTTGCTATAATTTTGGCGTCTTATTTTTGAGGATTTCTTAGAAAATGATGAACATTCACTACTCATGTCCAGAATATCATAGTAAGTTGTCTTACTTGCTTTTAAAAAAATTGTTTTATCTAAATCAGATGGCTTTAATATATTATTGATAGGTGATTCATCAGAAGTGGCATCACTTTCATATCGATAAGGATCAAATCTTTTCTTGCTAGAACGAAACTTATATATCGATCTTTTCTTTCTCCTTGGTGTTGATTGAGCAATATACTTTTTGTACCGACTAAATTCAGATTGTGTTTGAGCATTACATTTTTGCGATTTCTTGAATACTTTTGGCGACAAACTGCTATCGATGTGCGACGTTTTTGCTGAATTAATTTTTCTGCTTGTGCAAAATGATATTGCCAAATTAGGGGACTTACTGACAATAGAATCATTGTGGATATGCAATAGTGTTAACGGAGTCTTAGCAATATTTCTTCTCTTTCTGTGATTAGGTGTATTAAAATTTGGCGACATACTAACAATAGAATTATTATTGAAGATATTAGTTGATGGTGAAGGAATTTTTTCAGCAATCTTCTTATATTTTTTCTTAGAAGTGCTTTGTGCGTTGTACTTTGAGCATTGTTTCTTCACTTTAGAAGTGCCAAGTCTCAAGATATCTTTATTAAAATTATTCTTCAGTCTAGATGAAGAACTCTTTGGATTTCTGTAATATTCGTGTTTATAAACTGTATCTGTGTTCTTTTTTAGTTGAAATGCATCGGAATTGCTTGTTGCGATGCTGCTTTCTTCTTGCTTATTTCTTTTGTAATTGTGCAAAGTGTCATTAATAGTACAATCACTCGCTAGTGACGACGAAAGATGACTAATTATTCGACTGACAAGACATTTCTCTTTTTGCATGACATCAGTAAGATGCAAATTTGCAAAGTCAAAATCAAGATCTATAAATGAGTAATTTGTCATTTCTTTCTTATCAATCTGTGATAGATCATTTTGTTGTTGGGCAATCATTTTATCGTTGGATCTTGAAAGACATTTATCTAAATTGGTTGCTAATTTGGACTTAGTTTCAATAACATTACGTACATTTGGCAAACGACTCAAGTCTACAATCATTGATGAAGAGTTTGGCTCAAAATCAGTAAATGCACTCTTCTTTGTTGTCTTATCTGTATCTAAATCTGATAATATATCTTTTGAGGCAACATATTCAGCAACTTTGTCTCCATTAGTAATTAAAACTTTATCTGTAATATTAAGAGGAAAGATTACAAATGGCAAATAATTTAAAGATTATTTAAAAACTAAGTATCAAAAAGGTTACTTACCAAGCACCAAGTTATATTTTGGCTTGTCATCCTCATCCTGAATGTTTTCACAGTAATTTGAAAGCATTGTCACAGCTTTGAAGTACTTTCCTTCAAAGGCATAATGAAATGGGCTACGTCCATCATTGTCCGTACATAAAGGATCACCACCATTCGCTAAGAGTAACTGTAATATATTTATTCTTCCCCAAGCTGCTGCCACGTGAACTGGAGTCATTCCATCATTTGATCTATGAAGATATTACAAATATATTGCATTTATCGCATTGCATAAATATAATACTGTAAGTTTACATTTATGATCGTTACCTCACATTAGGATTACCACCATGACGTAAGAATAACTTGGTGACTTCTTCCGCAAATTCTTCTGAATCATTTCCAATAACCAAATGAAATGGAGTAACTCCATGTGTTGGAATTAAGAAATTGGGATCCGCATCTTTATTTAACAAAAGAGTTGCAACTTGCCTGTAAAAAAGTTACATATTAATTCTCTATTTTCTTAAAAAATCTGAAATAAATTCTGAATTTCTGATAGTTTACATTTGTTACAATAATATTTTACCTTATATTATAGTCTTCAAGCCCATCGCAGAGGGATGAAGCCAAAAATAGGCCGCCTTTTGCTTTTGGAGTCGACAACATTTTCTCGTCGCTGTTATCGTTCAAAGTCTTTGAAGGTTTCTAGTAATTGCACGTAGTGTTTCGCCAAAGTTCTTCCCAAAAGACAATAGTACGTTATATTCAACAGTTGTCCACTTTTACACACATTCTGCTATTGGAATTATGAATAATGAACAATAATATAATGTAATAAAGTGAACGAGCAATATCGGTTAATCGGTAGACATCAAATTAATCAGCACATTTCGCTATTTCCAAGCAATCATACGTGCAACATTATATTAAACTTTTTCAATAGTTTGACATTCAAACTTTCGCGTAACAAAAACATTGCAATCAAATATGGAGAACGCTCTATAAATACAGGACGTTTCCAAACACACTCATTATGTTTTTGTTTATCATCACCAAGCGCAATATCTAATGAATACAGCGTATGTGTAACGTCTTTTCAATCGACAGCATGATTGGTTGATTTTTTTGTCAAACTTCTGGCTCCAACTTAGGTAAAATTCAAGTTTGAACGTTGTTTAGCCTGTTTTATATAGAAAAAAATTTGTTAGACGACCAATCAGATAAATGAAACATAATTGCAGACATGTAAACAACTTTAATGTCTACTTTGCAGCTATTGGCTATCTAGCTACTATCACGCGACCGAAAACTCGTAAAGGAAGTTGCATCGAACGGAGAGTGGCGACGGTGGCGACAGCAACGACCGCCATTTTGTTGGCTCGTTGTGGTGAGCGGATGGTGAATAAGAGGCGAGAAATCGGCGAAATACATTTTCTGCATAGCTGCGTTGTTGTTGCGTACCACGCGTTTGTGCTTCTTCTTCTTCTCCATTTTCGTGTTTCTTTCTTTTCTCTCGTTTCCTCTATTGAGTTCCCGTGCAGCAAGCAGCGTTGATGATTGGGATTCCGCGGGACGATCGACACAAAATCACGGTCAAGATCCGCAACAACATGAAGAGGAGCTCGAGTCGCGACACTCCACCTCCTCGTGTCAAGCGGAGCCGCTCCTCGATGGGACGGTAAGATGTCTGGTGGTATCGTGACAATAGAGTTGGCGAGGATAGACTTTACGTTTTTTTCTCGGTCACAACTTCACGCGTCTCCTCCCCTCGGCGATTCACGCGAACCAAGTTCCACTCGGCATGCATTTCCTCCTTGCGTTTTTACTTTTTTTTTTCTCTCTTCCGCTGTTTTCACTCGACGCAGATCGATCGTTGAACTGTGAAACAAAGGTGATAAGCAGCGTTAGTGACGTGATAGATTTATTTTGCGCATTTTCTTATGTGTACGTGGTTGGTGCATGTGGTTGTGTATTATGCATGAGTGTTGTGCAGAGAGTGAGCCAGATATACAAATTTATGCATCTCCGTTGATAGTTTACGCGTCATGAAGAGGAATTAAATAAACGACTTCCTGTAATCTTTTTTTATTTCTCGTAGATTTACTTGAACTTTGAGTAAGGATATTTGTTATGCAAAGTATTCTGTGATGTTTCAGTATCGCAATGCTTATGATGCGTTTCATTTTATCTCTTGCGACCATAGTGGAAATCTAAGCTGGCATGGCCTCACACCGTGTGCATTAACGTTAATAGTGTACCATTAAACTCCTACATTTTGTATGATTTATAGATACGATGATTCCAGTGATGAACGCATCACCCCGGAAAGGATTCGGCGACGAAGTCGAGGCGCAAGGAGTCCCAGTCCACCCACACGAGCGTCCTCGCACGCTCGCTATGTGGAATCCGCCTCACATCGCGATGAGTATCTACGTGCGCCGCGTGATCTACCGCGGGAGCGGCCCTATAGCTACAAGGTTCTCTGCGTCAGTTCCATCCATCCAAAAGCCAGTGACGAGGTGATCAAGGACACTTTATACAGAGAGTATAAGAAGTTTGGCGAGTTTTCCATACAGATTTCGCATGAGCCGGACGAGCGTGTCGCTTATGTGTGCTTCCGCAGCTCGGAGGATGCTCGTGATGCAAAGCACGCAAAACCTCGAATTATCATGTACGACAAGATGGCTATGGTGGAACCGATGTACGATAGACCAGAGACTTATCGTCGTCCTCGGTCTATAACTCCGCCGGACTATGCTGAGAGGTACTATGCCCGATCGCCAGGGCCGACGGATCGACACAGACCACTGGAAAGATACGATCGTGTTTATGGGCCACCGGTCGGTATGCCACCGCATCGCGAGATGCGTCGCGAGACCATTCCACCACCGCATCACGAATTCGTGAGACCGCCGATACATCCTCACGGACCGCCACATGTGCATCCAGGACCTCCTCATCACTATGGACCGCCGCGGCATATGATGATACGCCATCCAGCGCATGGATTCGAACGCGTCGAGAACAAAAAAGACAAGTTTCCCAATTATCTGCATCATGTATCGCCTGAGGATGATCCGCTTGCGACCAGAACGCTGTTTGCTGGGAATCTCGAGATCAACATTACGGAGGAAGAACTACGCCGTATCTTCAGCAAGTACGGCATCGTTGATGATATTGATATAAAGCGTCCGCCTCCCGGCACCGGCAATGCGTACGCATTTGTGCGTTTTCAGACTCTGGACATGGCGCATCGATGCAAGGTCGAATTGTCCGGTCAATATATCGGCAAGTTTCAGTGTAAGATTGGCTATGGTAAAGCAACTCCTACTACTCGCATTTGGGTGGGTGGCTTGGGACCATGGACGTCCGTACCGCAGCTAGAGCGAGAGTTCGATCGATTCGGTGCAATAAAGAAGATCGACTATATCAAAGGAGACAGTAATGCTTATATACTTTACGATTCGATAGATGCCGCACAGGCTGCTGTCAAAGAGATGCGTGGCTTTCCGTTAGGTGGGCCGGATCGAAGATTGAGAGTAGATTTCGCTGATGTTACGTCGGGCTTTGGTTTTAAGCCTAGACCTTATACTGAAGAGAGCAGTGACTTTCGACCACGCCCAGTCGACTACGAGTCACCGTACGATCCTTACGGACCTGAAGGCGAGTTTAGTTATGGACCAAGAGGCTTCCGTGGCAGAGGTTCTGCACCATGGCACGATAGGAGAGGGAGCGCACGAGGTGGTTACAGAGGTAGCTATCCAGAGGGGTACATGCGCGATGAAGCAGACTGGCCCAGCAGAAGACCGCCGCCAGAATTGGAATATGAGACACCACGAGGACTGCGAAGATCACTCTCACGCGAACCGGGTGTTGATCGATCGAGGTCGCGTTCACCACGCAGACGGCAGATGGACTCGGACTCAGATTCGGAGAACACTCGCACCGGCATGCTGTCGACGTCTCGCACGTTGCCGGATGTTGCGCGCAAGTCTCTCGCGGTGTGGCAAGGCGCGTTGATACTGAAAAATTCATTGTTTCCAGCCAAATTCCACTTGACTGACGGTGAAACGGAGATAATCGATTCACTTATGAAGGATGAGGAGGGCAAACACATGTTGCGAATAACGCAACGATTACGTCTTGATCAGCCCAAGCTGGATGATGTATCCAAACGTATTCAGACGTCGAGCTCACATGCCATTTTTCTCGGCTTGGCTGGTTCGAGCACCGCGATCACAAACGATGATGCCAACGTACAGACACGTCCCCTGCGCAACCTTGTTTCTTATTTGAAGCAGAAGGAAGCGGCTGGTGTGATTTCTTTATTAAACAAGGATACGGAGGGTACCGGTGTGCTGTATGCTTTTCCGCCTTGCGCGTTCTCAACGGAACTTCTCAAACGCACGTGTCCTAGTTTAAGCGAGGAGAGTTTGAAAGAGGATCACTTGGTAATTGTAGTGGTAAAGGGAGGTAGCGCCTAATTTTTAGCATCTCAGCTCGTGTCTATGTTTTCTATGTCCTAAGTGCGACACGGTTCTTCGAGTATACCCGTAAAATGCGTGACTGCTAAAAAGTGTACAGAATTTTGTGCGATGGAGAACTTGTGTTTTTTGATCGATGTAAGTATTTCAGCTTTTTGACTGGCTTCCAGATACGTCGAATTTAATTTTCTACGATCGTAGGCTAGATCGTGTGTAATAATATTTGATTATTTTTTTTTTTTATTACATGTGTACATTGTATCTACACACAGGGATGTTGGGAAGTCTACTGTATTTCAAGCATGTGATAAAAATTTGTGACGTTTGGCTCCGCGATCTGAAGTTTCTTCGTGTACTTTTGTAGTTGTGAGTTTTTACGCGCATTATCACATGGACTCGATTTTTGTATAATTAAGCTTAACGATAGATGTGATTTAAAAATATAAAAGAGAGATAGATAGATATACATATGTATGATATTTTATACGCATACAATAATTTTGATTATTTACGATATACTTTTCCAGAATGATGACTGCTCTATAAATGCACATCATTGGCATTTGGCATTGTTGCTAATGCTAAGAGATTAGAGTACTTATTTTCTATCAAAAAACACAACTTTGGTACAGACTGCCCATTGTTCTAAATAAACGTTTATCAAGTAGTGGTGAATATCAGTGATAAAGTTTCTATCAGCGAGATCTTTATTAACCATATTGAATTTTAATTATAAATATTATCATCTTTATTATCACAAGTGTTGCTATGTCTACTCTGAAATATAGTATAAGATCTTATTTGTATTATATACATATAGACATACATACATACACATACATGCATACATATATTATACTTCTATAATTGTACGTATATATGATAGCGCTATTGTGCACAGTTCTTTCACATTTGCAGACATGTTATATAATTGACATGATATATTATTATAATTAAGATAATTAAAAATTTTTGGTAAATACAATATGAATACTGAAACACGTGTGCGCACATAAAAATAATTAGATACGCAATGAGTCCTAAAATAATGAAGATAAAAAAAATTTTTTTAATTGTAGTTTTTAATCATATTATCATACATCTTAGATAATATGTTAAATCTATAATATATCAGTCTTAGATTTGCATTGACGAAGTTATATGCTAAAATTAATGTTCTTAAATTATACTTTGCAAGAAAAAAAATTACAAATTAATATTAATGTATATTATACATTAATATATAACTATAATATGAAAACACACAGATGTGTCACAAAGAATACCATAGATTTCATAAAAAATTAATTACAGTAAAAAATGTGAAAGGTCTGGTTTAAGGAATATATCTAATATCGAAAATTTGTATGACTAACGGTTTCACTTATTTCTATAGATTTCTCTTGTGTGGCATAACATTTAAGTGATGTGCAGTAAATAATCCGTGAGATAGTTTTCAAGGTTTCTAAAGTTTTGGACTGTGCCGAGGAGTGCCAACAGTGAGGGAAAGATTGGACCAAATTTATAAAAGCAAGAGACAGAAATTTGTTTACTGTAAAACAAAATCGACCAAATCTGTGTTTCAATCATTTCAACAGCAGTTCTGCTCCTTCTAAGTGAGGACTGATTTTTTTAAAGGACAGTGTTTGGTGGCATTCAAATTCAGCTTTGAACATGTGTACAGTGAAATGTAAAGAAAAAGTAAAGTGATTGTGTTCCACATTCCAGTATGGCGAGCATTTTTCGCACACATGTCTGGAATGTACATATATTTATATATTCATTCCAGAAATGGAAGGAGAAAGGGACTCTGCTGTACTTGAATGTGATTGAAGGTGCAGTGGTTAAGTATACTTAGTGTTTGAACGGAAAAATAGATGCAGTTTATGTAGAGAAATCACAAAATGTGTCAATTTTCTTAGTACCGTTCTTCACCTGTCAAATTCGACATTTCTTCCGGGTACACGGTAATGTTACAGTGATACATGCATTCCAAATGAATATTTGCTACACGCGATGTTTGAGGAAAGTAAAAGTAAAGAGCTTTATCAAGCAGATTAGGATTGTCAACCGATAAAACCTAATGTTTTGTTTCTAAAGAAATTGGCGTCGCAATTCTTCAATTCAAATGCATGCATGTGGTTAAGAAATCAGTTAAACTGCTTTTGAAGTTTTGTACTCGGTATAGAATTTGGTTTCTTTCCTTTCGTTAAGTGAAGTTTTGTCGTGCAACAATATGGTGCTGTGATATCAATTCACGTAGCAATGACAGTCAAAGGAGTAATCAAAATGCCAAATATTAGCTCTGTAAATTTCAAAGTGTTTGTGTTAGCTAAAAATTATTTTTCTAATATCTGAGAGTAAAAAGACTGTCACGTTATTCGTATTGTAAGAAAAGAAAAACGATATTGCCATTGTGACGTTTAGTGTTTTCTGTGGCTTGTGGACTTCCAAGGAGAAGCAGATAAAGTCGCGAATTAACTCTTTTTGAACACATTACATTCGAGATCATTATACATTGCTCAGAAACGGAAAATAGTCGTGTTATTTGCAACATATCGAGTACAAAATTGTGCATCTGGGATGGTAGTATCGCAGCAGGAGAACTCTTTAAAAAAAATGTAGGAAAAGACAGTGGTTCCGTTGTTGGGCAAATTTAGATTTTCAATTTTGTGTGCGGCCGAGTCAAAGTGAGTTCTATCAGTGGTATTCTTTAAATTTCGATTTGCGTCAGTGCTGTGCTGCTTTCTCACAGGTTTTCCATCCTCTTTCATCCGTACAGCGTGGATCGACTATCTACAGAGTTTCGTTTTAGCTTCTTTTTTGTAAAATTGTAAAATCTGTTTCAGAATCCGCCCATGGAACGGAAGATCGTAAACGTTCGGAGATGTGATTGATTTCTGTATTAAGATTTACGAAAATAAATCACAGATATAATTAAACGATGAAAGAATTGTGCTGGTCTTCCCGGTTTCTTTCATGGGTGTTTTGCACAAGTTTAAAATTTACATTGCAATTTCTGTTATTGTGTGTTTAACGCGTTCTGCCTTAGATATCCATGCAGTGAAAATATTTATTAATTTCGACAAAACAGTTGTAAGACGCTTTAATACAATCTAACTTAACCTAATTTCATTCTAACCTATTAGATACCACGCTATACGTGAATGTGATACAAATAATCATTATAATCAATATCAGACTGATGTAATTTTATATAAATGCATTTAATTATACAATCTTACACTAAATTTTATTAATTAAAAAAGAAAATTAGTATTTACGATATTTATTTGAAGTGTAAACAGTGCAAGTAGCGCAACTAAAACGAACATATGTTTGACGACTGCGCACGCATTCTACGCGTTCCAACATTTATAAATATTCATATTCAGTATATTTTAAATAATTTAAATAAATTGAAATTTTCAATATAAAATTAAAAAAATTAATTTTCAATTTCCTATTTGCAAGTAAAAAAACAGAATCTTGCAGCGCAATTTAATTAATAATTAAATTTTTGTAAAGGATTTTATGCTCCTCAAAAGAAGATAAACAGCATTTTTATTTTAGACATCTTGGACAGTGTATATTATTTTTAATTTTCACAATTCTTTGTAGATAAAATTAACCATCGCTAAAATCTGTGATTGAAAAATAATTGAAGCTGATCGTTATAAAAAGAAGAGTCGTTCTCTCGTTCAATCTTAATAATAACAATGTAATACAATACATTGGCGCACAGTATTATTAATAGCAGGAAGATACGCAGAATGTGTGTAAATGGGAAAAATTACGCGTGTGGGGAAAAAATTATGCGTATATACGGCATGCTGCTGCCTTTTCTGCGACACGTAACAAAAATACACACCTTCAGCAAACTTGCTTTGAACATTGATCGTGCGTTGTTGCAAGATTATATGAGAAGAGTAAAGCTAATTGGCTGATTCTCTCTCATTTACAATAATATTTACCGCCCGTCTGATATAACATTAATTGCACATAGCGAATACTGAATGTTCCTGATGAAACTTATGTTACTACGGCTAAACCTAAAACTACGTCGAACAATAAGACAAATTGTACAAAACAAAATTACAAATGGTTTTTCGTCGAGTAATCGAGTATTCTATTTCACTGAGAATGTTCCGGTTTTCTATTTAACTTCAACAGAGTTTTAAACGAGTTAAGAATATTTTAATGAAAGGTTGAATATTTATTTAAAAAGTTTCGAAAGGAGGTGTGACGTTTAATTAAACTTCAACTAAAAGAAAATCAGTTCCATTACTTCAGAAATTACAAGTACAAATTAATGTAAGGGAGATACTCTGTATCGACGAATAAAAGTACAAGTGTGTTGTTTGTACAGACGCGTGTAATGAATTTAACTATATTAATTAATTCTATAGAGATGTTCAGTCTCCTCGGAGTGTTGAATATGGAAGGCCGTGTTGGTTCGAAGAAAACCTCGCGAGGACTCCTTCGGTATATTATTTGCTCACTAAATTCGTTTCCGAACGTTCTCTTGTTTTTCTATGCGGACATCAATGGAGTACAGAATATCAATGAGTGACAAGACGATGGTTCGACTCGAGGTTCGGTTAGTTAACGTTTAGCTCGTACTTCTCCAGTTAACGATGTAAACATATGTAATTTTTTGACACTCTGCATTTGGCGCAGTCATCAAAGTTTGCAGGGACATTTTTTAACATTCTAATGCGGTTTCTTAGTCCATATCGTGGATACATATATAGAACTGACGATAAAATTTATCTCGCGCAATAAATCTTGTTCGATTTCTCTACGTTTTCTCCTTTTTACACATATACATTAAAACATATCTCGCCTTCGTTTTCTCTGATTCTCCGATTTCTCTCATCTTACCCGTCTAATATTATCTAGTAGACGAATAGACCTATGTCTAGTCTCATGCTAATTCATGAACAAAACTATATCGCTTTATATGTATATATATAATATATATTATATCAGTCACGAAGTCGTCGAAATCAAGCCTGAGGGTAATTTGATTCGATACTACGATTGTTTAATGATTCAGTCGTAGCGTCATTACGGGCGCGTCGCCCGTATTACACGCAAAAGGAGCTTAAAATTGTAACATTACCATTAAGCGAATAAGTAACAAGAGCGCGCTGAAGCTTTTTGTAATTAGGAGTCCTATTAATTTTCAACTTTTTGTAATTTGTTATCCGTGGTTTTTTTATCGAATTAAAAATTCAACCAAACTAATCCATTCCTCGATTAATTTAACAACGCATTTAAACAGCGCAGGAAATTATTCTGGATTGAGTCATAGACTCTGATATGTTTTGCTCACCGTTTCGTAAAATTCTTGAACAATAAAACTCTCAATCGCACTTGATTTCGTCGCCGCGAAATTTTTGTTACGAGATAAAATGTATCTGAAATACGAATTTTTTTACGCTTCGCATATGTTCCGAGATACTTCGACAGGAGAGTTCGGGTCGAGGAAAATTTTTTTTTTCTTTTTTTTTAAGAATCGACGCCTCTCGGTTCTTCAGCGCGGCTCTTGCGAGGAAAGCTTCTCTCTGTGAGCACCTTGTTTCTTAGAACGAGAAAATCTGTGTTGTCGCTTTTGCGCTTGCTGCTTTTTTTGCCTCCTGCGAGAAAAAGGGAGAATAGTTGAAGAGGAGCGACAACGAGGGTCGTTCGTCAAAAGAGCGCAGACTCCTGGAAACGTCAACCGCTGATTTTCCTTTTCTTCGATACATTTTCCATCAGAAATTTTTCTCATTTCCTCGCGTACCTCTAGCCAGCTTCACGTCGTGAATTATTTAATAGATCAGGCGATGAGGGTACTGATAACTTCGCGGTTGCGAGCTCAGTTGCAGTTCAGCAGCGGAGAAAGGATCATAGCTCTGGAAATAAAAAGATGTTTTTTTATATTTTACAGTTTCCGATTTTAATTTGCTTTTATTTACATTAACTTTTCCTTGGAATTTACTGAAAGATCGTATTTAACTCACCTGCGCTCGCTTTTTAGCCACCATAAACCTTTTTTCCTGAGGGTAGTAGGCACGTTGAGGATAAACAAAGTCGTACTGCGAGTTACCGTATTGTGCGGCGCTTCCGTATTGCTGATCCAGCTGGTTTCCGTACTGCTCGTAATAGCTGGGCGGGTGGGTGCGGACTATTCCGATGTCGGAGGGTGACAACGTGTCGTAGTGCCGCGAGGGATAGACCGGTGCGTCTAGCCATGGAAAAACTAAAAGTAAAGCAAAAACTTATTTTATATTTTTAATAAGAAAGAGTTAAGATGTTTATATCCATCTATTTTTATTTTGATGTAAATCGTCAAAACAAACCGTTTCTACCGTTTTCCTCATCCAGGTAACCGCTGTCATCTACCATATTCTCGTACTCCTCGGTAGCGTACTTGTGCCAGTTCCTGTTTATCGCGTAAAAATAGAATCAGCATCAAGTATTCTATTAATAGAAAGCATGAAGTGTTTGAAAAAAAAAAATCGTTACCCATTGCGCCGCTCGTTCTCCAATAATGATAGCAAAGCGAGTACATCCTCGGGATCGATGTCTAAGGGCAGTTCTCGCTTGTATCGCAATTCCTGGTAAAACGGAATGCTGAAAATTTAAATAAAATGCTTTTATTGCTAACAATGTCGCAGCCCAAAATAAAAAAACAAGAAAAAATGTCAAGAGTATATGTAATCTAATGCAATACTAAAAATTTATAGGTTTTTTTTCGTACAACAATTCAATATTTCATCCGCAGATCGTATGTCGCGATAATGCTAAATATGTCACGGAGGAACGACGATTTAATCGCGCGACTACAAAAATTGCTATCGTTTCCCCGCTGATGCTCGTCGACGCTCGACGAGAAATCGATGCCTCACAATCTCGTTTCGGAATCGCTCGTGAATTCATTATTCCCGCTGTTCGCGCGATGTCTACATTCTAAGATTGATCGATGCTTATCCGTGACGTAAAGCGACCGGCGACAATCGCCGACGACATGTTCCTATATCGCGGCGCGACATTGTTCCGCGGCACGAGCGGCTTTATCTCGCTGCCGCGAACTGTCCTCTTTGTGTACACAAGCCTCGCGATAGCTGTATCGAAACTCGTGCCCGAGTACAATAACGAATACGCGGACAATACCGCGGGCACAATACGCTCCTCGAATCGCAAAACATGATTGTCCCCTGCTGTCAATTGACGAAGCGTCGTCCTACACATCTGATATTACGCATGCAGCAATAGAATCGTCGACGTTTCGCCCACGAGAGATTATTAATGTTATCAGTTGATCGATTGGCGAAAAGTTTGTAGGATACTTTCATTCAACTTTTCGGTCATTTATCAGCACGTAGTAAGAGTCCGTATTCACACGGACGCCGATAACGCCAGCCGATCCGCCGGGCTGACTATACGCTTGATCTTTCTACTGCGACGCGCAAACAGTGGCTCTCTTGGAATTTTTGTTATAAATAATGAATTATATTTAACATTTAATTGTAAACTTCGTAAACTGGAGAAGTTTAAAATGTATTATAATAATTTTAGTTTAAAATGTATTATAATAATTCTCTTCTCTTTGAATACTTTCATTTAAGTTACAGAATGTTTATCACAAAGAAAAGTTTGAAAGAAATAACACAATTCTCAAGTATGTTATATAACAAGAATTGAAGAGTTTTATCTCTTCGGAATTAATTTTTTGAAGTGGTATTTAGAACCGTTCCAATTTATTTTGTTGTGTCGATGTTCTGCTTATTGATTCGCATTCGATGGAACATTTTCATTCAAATCCTCGAACGAGCGCGGGACTGTTGTTTAATCAACGGATTATAATGCGTCAACGGCGGAGGCTTGCGCCGCTGCCGGAAATATCGTCGATAAACTCGCCGAGCGCCGCTCGTCAGCTGATTGGTTGGAGATACGCCAAACAATCAAGCTCTGACCTAGTTTCCGCTTTTCCGGCTCCATTCAGCTTTTCGTGGGCCCGCTCCGGCGGATACACGACCACCACCACCACCGTCTACGTCACGCGTATCGAGCGATTTGTGCACTGCACCAAATTCTTCTCGGTGTAAGTACGCGGCCACGTCTGTGTGAACACGATGCACAGAGGCGGATACAGCGTCCGCTTAACACCATCCCTGTGCTTTCGCTTTACGCTAGAATTATCATCCTCTGCGAGGATGCGGGGGCCGAGAGGCGGGGACGCGAGGACGCGAGTCGTTAAATCGCGAGAACAATAACGACTTTATTCTATCCAGAGCGGGATTCTAATTGTGTAAAGGCTGCGCTGAAATCTCTGACCTTAATTCTAGTCCTACTTTAGGTTTCAATTTGGGACTCTCCTCTTTTCTCGGATCACAAGGAACTGAAAGTGAAAAGCTCCGCGCGCGCGAGTTATAAATTATTAAACAACGTAGTCTTTAATTAAACTCACTCCAAGCGAATTTCTCGGAATTTTAACTAAATTTAATACGATAATGAGAGTGAGCGGTAAATTATAACGCAAGTATTGATTAAACGAATTGATGCGAGGATTGTTAATTGTTGAGCGAAATTTATACGAGGCCCGATAAAAGGGCAAGATGTTTAGACACAATTTCCAACAGCGTCGCATGTAACGCGTGCTTTCTTCAATGAAAATATATTCAAAACGCTTTTACCGGCTTCCGAGTGCTTCCATTATCACGGGCGCCGGCCGATGCAAGGATAATGCGTTATGTAATCGTGTTTAGCATAATGGGAGCGCAGCGTGCGCTCTTGGAGTTATAAGAGTTTCATCGAGGAAAAATTAATCGCCCCGTCGCCTCTCCCGCTCGGGTGACCCGTGACATTTTGCGGCCGGTCAGGCGATGCATTCTTGTAGAATTTTTCGCGTAAAAATAAAACGGGCCGCCGCGATGTGGCGACGGCCGACTTCGAAGCGATAATAATGTCCGCTCGATGAAAGTTCCCCTCCCGCGTGTTTAATTTTAAACATCGGCCTTAGGCAATTCCGTGCGAAGCGGCGGCTCTTACGGGTCCGATATCGAGCGCTCGTGTGTTCACGCGATTTCCTGAAATTAGATTCGGCTCCCGATAAATCCACGCTGCATTTTCCGAGGGAGTGTATTTTTATCTCGCGACGCACGATCGTCAAACGGAATGTCGCGTTGTCGTGAAATCGCATTGTAAAAATGTGTCAAGGATATAATAAGCTTATCAATTAAATCGCATATTCTACTAGCGTCAGATCGTTTCCGTTCCTTGCTATTTACTGCACTCGACGATTCGCTTCAGCAAGCGAATATCGAGACATCGATCGGTTCGCGAAGGTGACATCAACGCCTTAGTGCGAAAGTTTCGTTCGGCTACGCCTATCGAACATACGCTATCGATATGATTTTCGGTGACGACAGCCTTTCTGTGCAAGTGGTTCGATACGACTTCGGTCGTCAAGTCGACCGCCGCCGTCCCTGCGCCTGAGGGCAACGCCCTCGCGAGCCCTCTCATCCCCATTCAGAAGAAACGGCGGAGGAAAAGAGAGATGCCTGGTAGGCGGAAAGGGTGGAAAGGGCGAGCCACCCACGCGCCGACCCGATCCACTCTTTACGTAAGAGTCCCCGTTGCACCCGCTGAATCAAACTTAATATCGCAGTCTCGCGATATTAAGAACGCTCGAGCGCATATTGCAATTTAAAATATTAAACGAAAGAGATGAAATATCACGGAGTCACTATGATATTTATTGCGCGCCCTCGATTCCTCCGATGTTTCATCATCGACGATGATCTAATATTGGCTGCTTCGAAGCCAATCTTCTCGCAGATCGAGTTCTGAATAAATGACGTTTCGCAATTTTTCTTTTTGATTATATAAATGTGATTTTAAAAGGCGCGGGGCGAGATGAATGCAATAAAATCATTGCGGGAACTCGTTTCTGCTGTCCTCGCCTATCGCGGTTTTCATTTCACGGCAATTTCTGACGACGGGTTGTTCCCGGGTGGTATCGATCATCGCGGGTTATCGATTTCGGAATTAGGAGAAGTAGGACGCGGCCACTTACCTCCTCTTAACTTGAGCCTGCACTGGTTGCTGAGTAGGCAGGAGGCTGCCGGGTAGGTGTTTCGGCTGGAACGAGCTGGTCGGCGGTTGCTGCGTGGTGCTCGACCGTGCGGTTGCTGTGGACTTGTCCGATCGTTTGCGCCGATCCCCGCCCGTGTAATACATCGGCGTGTCCCAGACGCGTGGCACATCCTCCTCGAAATCGTTCATAAGAACCTTACCGTAGCTAGAACATCAACATTTCGCTCATTGCCCGTCGATCTTAACGATCGAATTCAGAAAAAAATTATCTACTGGGTCGTGTTGTAAGTAATTTCGGATTTTTTAAATAAATCTGTCTACTTTTTTTCAGTCGAGCAATTTGATTAAAATGTAAATTAAAAATTCGTTTGTCGGAAATGTAAACAAGTTCTGATTTTTTCACGTTGCGCAAAAGAGTGCTTAAAAACAACACCATTTAATGGAAAACATGTTGCACAGCTTGTATTAAAAGTATTAAATGTTAAAATATAAAATTGTGCAAATCAAACAGTAGCGTGACGAATAATTCTACAGTAATAAAAAAACTAATAGAAAAAAGATTTATTACCAAAGCGCAGATGTTAAAAAATTTATTACAAATCAACAATAGAATAATAATAATGCAGAAACGTTTCAGCTCAATAGTTATTGAGTTACTCGTGTAGTAAGCTATATGAAACATTGATTTCGTCCATCGTTCCAATCGATATATGATACAAAATATATTTTAAACAATTAATTTTCACGCCAAGAACTGGACTTACTCGTAATTTCTGTCATACGGCGAATATGTTTCGTGTTCGTATACGGAATTGCTGGGTGATTTCGACTTGGACGATTTATCATCCTCGGCGAGGGCCGCTTTTAAACCTCCCAATCCCGACGAAGCAAGTGTTCCTACGCGTAATTACGCAGATGCGTTTTAGAGTTATATTCATACTTAATATCTTGACTCTAAAGCAGCGTTTTATTCGTAAGAATATACTCACGTTTCTCCGCGTTCGACGTAAGAGGTTCGGCAGCGGCAGCGCTGTTAGCCTGTCGACTTTGCTGATTGCCGAATATCAGCATCTCCTGCGCTCGTTTTGCTAAAAGTGTTGAGAAGACGCGAATCGACGGTGTTAAAAAATTGAAAGATAAATCGAACAGTTTACGATAATTTCAACGCCAATGCGATCATTTTTTACGTTTCGAGCGAGCCTTACATTTCGGTTTCATGGCCTGATCCGCTTTCTTCAGGTCCTCCATCAGGCTCGTAGGCAGGCACATGCCTATCGAGACTAGCGAGAACAGCAGCAACAGCCACGCCCAGTTGTACGTCATCTGCGACAGAGTTGCGGAATTTTTTATTGCCGATGCGTTCCCAACGGACAACAAAAATCGTTTCGAGGATCAAAAGTTCTGCGATATGTTACTTCTTTTTTTTTGGTTCGCGTGCGGTTTCTGCGTATCGAAGCCGGCCGGGTCAGCGCGTGGGAGAAACTTAAATGTCACATATGATGCGAAATGTCAGAAGTCTATTTCCAGGGTGCGTAAAAAATTGAGCGAGGGCAGTAAGGGCACTCGATAAGGGCGCGCGCGTTCGTATCGTGTATTTGCGGTTACGTAAAAATTGCGGTTACATCGGACTTTTATAATCGGGTGATGCTCAATTACTCAGTATGACGCCAGACTTCAGCTGACGACTTGTCGCGACTTCACAATCCAACGCGGTTTACTTTCCTCGGTCTGTGACGTTATCGTATGACGTAGGCGCGAGAGTTCACAGCTGCTACGTCACATACATGTAACTTGAAAGAGAGTTCTTTATCGAACTTCTTTTTATCGCGTGACGTACAGTCTTATATACATAAGGAAAAACGCGTCAAACGAATTCCGCGTACAGAGATATTCCACGAGAAACGAGCAATATCGTCAGTAAAATTGCACAGTATTTTTTCGAAATTGAAACTTTGATTTTGCATAACGTTGAAACCGTAATTCATACCATCGAATATTTTTCCAACTTATTTATATTCGAGACCAACAAGAGCTGGGAACTCCGTAATGCGGAACAACAAGTTTCCGCGCGCGCTGCACGATCGAGTTACGCCTTAATTGCTCTCAATTGGCTTCCCATTAGCAAATTACGCGGAACCCTCTGACGGAAAGTTAAACCTCGCGTTCGCTTAATTACGTGAATTCCGACGGTGATGCTGGGAGAGCGCTGTACGCCGCGGCGAGCGTAAACGGGCGGTGCTGCGAAATGTCAGAGTTCAGAATTGTGTACGGAATATGTATTTGCGCAACTGCGTATTTGCAGTGCTGCGACAACCCCCGCCGGTTATTGTAGTCCCCGTAGTTTCTCATTGCAAATGATTCGTGCGTTCGCGAGATCCGCGAGGGTTTAATCGGATTTGATAGACGGTACTGAAAAGCATTATCACCTTTGACATTTCGGATTTTTCAGCGAGCTTTTCGCAAATAAATGCCATTTAATCTCATCCTGTGTAATCTGATCGACGCTTCACTCGCCGGATGTTAAAATTTGTTGAAAATCTTTCTCTCCGGCGACATAACATAAAAGTTGAAATAATACTAACGAAGCGCAGAGGGAGTAATTATCGCTGCAATTAATCGCCCTCGTTATTATTGAGGCGAGAGTAACGTTTTCAATTAAATGATCAGTGGATTAAACGCTTGAGATATATTTCCGCTATTGACGTTTGCCTACATTTGTTGTCCGAAATAAACGGCGAAGTTTGACAATTAAAGCGAGCGACGTGTAGTAACGTCAAACCGGATATAGTAGACCTAGAAATCGTACACTTGTTGCGTCTGCAAATACTATAGTCGTTTATCGGCGTACGCAAGCCGCACGGCTAGACGAGTTTGCAATTAAAAGTGCATTTTACAAGCGAGCACTGACAAGTTTCAATGTATCTTTCAGACAAATATTTCAGTCCTAATTAACTCTAATTTTAATAACATTAAATGAATAAAGGGCATTGTTACTCGAAAGAAAGTTGGTGAAAGTGCAGAGTTGAATTAAATCCCGCAATCCGAAATCTTCCGAGACAAAACTGTGTCACCGTTCGAACATTTAACATTGCTTAACGAAATGGAATTTAATTTCGGACAACTACCTGTATGAATGCGCCAAGGGCGGTCTACTGCGCGTTTGATAACAAGCAACGGAACGCGCATCTCACAAACGCGCATCCGTTTGCAATTACATCCATCGCCAGTTGCTCGAATCTGATAATCTGCTTTTATTCGAACAATCGGCCGGAATAATTAGAAACAAAAACTCGCGCGGAGCGACATGTACGATCGTTCACGTACCTTTAGCAACGCGGCGATCGTCGGATCGTTATTCAATCTGGATGCAAGGACACTCGTCTCCTTCTCTCGCCTTCTCTCCTCGTTGATCCTTGGCTCGATCCCTCCGCTGATTACAAACTGGAGAACGGACACGTCCTAGCGGATCCGCCGGCTCGGGGTGGAATGAATGTCGGGGCTCGGCAGGACGAGTAGAAAAGCGGGTACGGTCGATCAACCAACCCCCACCCGCCTGGTGAACGAGCGTTCCCCATCTCTCTCGACTCGCGGTGGTGAGCACCCTACGACGCCGTTGGCTGCGCGCGCGTTGCGTTCTATCACCCACAGACATTATCTGCATGTGTGTGTGTGTGTGTATGCGTGTGTGTGCGCTCCCGCACACACGATCCCGTCGTGATATAAGAGGCGTCTGCCCACGCAATGACCCAACTGCGTCTTCCCGAGCAATCCTGGCCTTCTACGTGGCGTCGTGAGGATCGTTTGCGTGGGGATTATGTTGTTATTTTCCTGTCGAAAGCCTGTCAGCCGGCGTTATTGAAGCCGACACGGGGCTTGCCTCACGTCTAGCGACACTGCTGTCGATTTCCAAGTCACAATATGACGCGGAGTCTGCGAAATATCAAATAACATATGGTATCAAATAATAAAGTTTTGATAAAAACAATTTATAACGGGTCAAGATAATGCTGAATTTTTTGCGACATTATTGAATTCCGTGCTAAGAATGTTCTTCATGTATGAGATAACGCAGGAACGTCTGCAGAAATCGTCCTTGTATAATATCATATTTCTGTAATGGCATTTTTCCGCAGTGAAAGGGCACAGGTCTGTTTACACGCTCCAGCCAGCCCTTGAATGAAATACAACACAGCTGTATCACACACACACACACACACTCACACTTGGCTCGCTCCTGAAAAGAATGCAGCCTTCACTCTAACAGGATCGAGAAGGAAGTGTGCAATTATTTATGACTTCCACCAATCTATCTACGTAACGCAGCTTTTATTTATAAATTCCCTTGTGAATTTATAAAGGTGGCTTTTTTTATGCGGGAATAATTTTATATTTAAGTCCTTAATCTGGCGTTAAAATCCAGTGTAAAAGAACCGTTTCGCACGCCAACAACCGCTGTTGTTGGCATGCTTTATGTAAAACATTAAGCTTGAACTCCCCGAAGAATTAATAGTAAGTTAAAGCACTTCACCGGCGACATAGCAACTCTCTTGCGTCATATATGACGGCTGTGACGACGTTACCTGCTCACTATTAATTTTAATGTTACCGCTACGCAAACGTCATAGGGGTAGTTTTCTTTGGCATTTGAAACGGTGACGTTACAGCGAATACGGTAAGTACACTCGAGTGGTAGAGACGCGGGTATTTTCAGCCGGAGAACGCGCCGCTCTATCTATCTTCCCAATCAATCTTCACTTCTCAAATACTTATTTTCACGATATAAATGTTCCAATAAATTCGGACAAAAGAGGTGAAATTGGCACGGCTATTAAAAGCACTGGACTATAAAAGTGAGCGTACGTGATGGAGTGAGTGTAAAACTTCAATAGAAACTCAAACAGCCTATGCGCAAAACAGCAACGTTTCCACGTTTATTCTAGATTCTTTTTAAAAAATAAAATGAAACATGCAAAAATACAAGACTAAAAAATACAAAGAGTATACAAAAAATAGGATTAAATTAAAAGAAAAAATAATATTTGCGTTAAAATTATCGAATTTCTCTAACATGTGCGCTCTGATTCGTATTGGTCTTCGTTACTATATTGTATATTCCAATATTTATTATTTATTACGATTCTTTTTAAATTTCTATCTACGAATTATAAATATAATTTATATACAAATATAATTATGGATGAAAAAAACAATTCAATAATCTCTCTTGCTTGAATTTTTTAATGTTAGGATTATGTTAACGTCTCAGGTTCTTAGGACTTAAATAAATTGTATTCTACCGCGTTAAAAAAAAACAAATTATATGTATATCCTTTGATATATGCGGCTTTAGGCTGAAAAATTCAACAATAAATACGATCTCGCGACGGAGTCAGCGTAGATTTCAGCGTCGTACTTCTCGAAGGCCAAAAGGAGAAGAGTTTCTCTCTGGCCTTCATACGCCCCTCGTTCTGAATTCATCCCCAATCACCTAGCTTTAGCCCCCGCAACAGGCCGCACGCCTACGCGAGGACGTTACGCCTACGCGCGAGTTTTCCACTCCCTTCCCTCCCCTCGTACGTATCTAGAATCGCAGAGTACCGGCGGTTCGGAGGGTATACTTTTTTCCGTCCAAACCGAAGCTCGACATCCTCCGCATTGTAGCGTCGAGTAATGGTTTTTATGACGCAAATGCGACAACAATAACTATGAAAGTAGGATGATTCCAATAATCCATTGTTAAGAGGTTTTTTTACTTTTTACTCTCGTAAAGTTTGGAATGTATAATTTGTCGAGGTTTTACTGAAATAACAAAATACGAAATTCTCTTCCGTGGTTTGTGAGAGGTTTCGACATTTTTATTTCTACTAGCTTCACCTGCAGAGCACTATCTTCGGATGATTTCGAAACTAAGCGAATGTCTGTCATTCTCGCGAAGAGTCGCTACGTGAGTATGGTTTAGGAATCCCCGGTGGAAAAATAGTCTTCGAATAGGAGGGGATTCTTGAAAGACTCCTGGGGGTGGCGTCGCTGCACTTAAAGTAATATCACGTCCGATAACATCAACGGACGAGCACTCGTATAGCTGTGAAGGGACCTCCTTGACGGGTGAAACGTAAGTTGACAGCGGTGGCTATAGACGCGCGAACTATTTTCGCACATGTGCCAAATAATAATGTTTATCTTGAAGAAATATTATTTTAACGCCTAGTTTATTCTTGCAAGCGAAACAAGTCCACCCGCGTCGAACGATCCATGTACGGGACAAATTTAGGAACGGAATTCTATTTCTAGTCCCCTGTGGCTCTTTCGTATTCCTCGAATCAATCGTCTGTGTATGACATACGAAAATACATACGACACACCACCCCGAAATCTACCATGAATTATAGAAAGTCCAAACGAGCTTTACGTTTTGTTTCTGACAGCTGATATCGAACAGTAATACGAGGCGATGAAAATAAACCAAATATAAAAACGAATTAATTAGTAAAACGCGACGAAAAAGACGGCCGGGCGTTAAAATTAAAATCGCCTCCGTTCTCGAACTCGCTGGTCGCAATTTATTGCGGGCCATCGATCGTCATCGACGCGAACGACAGGCACGATGAATACAAATGACCGGCGACTATTTCCAGCCGTATCTCCGAGCATGTAAGTGCACGATTATACCGATTTCCCCGAGCAATCTCGAAATGACGACGATCGGAATATGGGCTCGTCTACGTAACGAGTGGTCGCGCCGTTTTATCGGGCCAGCCGTATGCCGGCTGACTTGTTCTTTACTTCGCTCCTTCGGCGCGAGGATGGTTGCGACACTTCTCTCGGTGCATCCGCCCTCGCGCAGTAATTGACCTATTTTCGTTAGCGTCGTCGTCGTCGTCGTCGTCGTCGTCGTCGTCGTCGTCGTTGCAAGCTGCTGCAGCACGCTTGCGCAAATTAGTTAGTATGCGTACACAACACGAGGAGGACAGGTGCAGTCGGCGCTTCCGGTAAATTACGGAAGTCCGCATCTGCGGTGTTACAATCGCGATAAATTAATACACGTGTTCTCTCCAATTTCTTCCCTTTCGATGGAATGTAATTAAGCGAGAGAATATTATCTCGGAAGCAAATTAAGAAAATCTATCCCTTAATAGAGAAGCTCCAATCAACGGAGATGACTCAAAGTTAATGCTAAAGCGCCTTATATATCAAATAGTCGTATATTTTTTATCATTGTTACATTATTTCTCGTAAGGTACGATTGTGTCTAGATAGTTTCAATGCATAATTAGATTTAAATCTTTGTGAATAGATTGAGAAAATAATATGAAAGCGATTGTGAAACAAGAATAAAAATAATATAGAAAAAGGATATCTTAATTTAAAAATTACAAATTATATTTCAGTTTTAAATATTGAACAATAATATCAACTAACAAAATAAATGTTAATTAAATTTTTCATTATGAAAAATTGATTAAATTTATTATTCATTCAGAGAAAGTTCGCAATATATTTTTCTCTCGAAAATTAATTAAATTTGATGCCTTTAAAGATGAGATTCCATATTTTTCGCGTCTCTCGCCATTTACACTATATTATTACTAAATGTACTCGCGTAGCAACCTTAATCTGAAAACATTAATGAATTTTCTCTCTCTGTCTTTCTTTCTCTTTGTCTCTCGTGTATAAATAATGCGCCTCGAGAATCTTATCGCTACCATCTGCTCGGGCGATGATTTACGAGCAACATTACTTTCGCATTCACATCGGTTCGCTCTTCTTCTTTCAGCTGGAAATAGCAACTGATTATATTCGCGATACGCTACCGTTCATAAGTTGGAAACGTAAACAAACTGACGGTGTGGAAAATATTGTCAATGGAAAAGGATTGATTTAATGCAAATTGACCGCGTGCACAAGAATATTAATAGAGTATAAAAAAATACATATTAAAATAGTACTGCAGTATTTCAGAGATTATAAAAAAATATATAGAAAACTTTATAAATACGTCCTCTCATAAATATGTAAGCGTTTATGCACAGATGCTAAATAGTTAAACATATAAAAAAACTAATGAATATATAAATGCTCCTTGTAATTCTTTCACCCTTAAATTTCTCTCTCTCAGTGACATTTATTTTCTGTCAAGTTTTTTTTCTACGCAAAAATCTCTCCTCATCCTCATTTTTATCACTTACATCGCCCTCGTTCTCGTGTCTGGCCGACACACAAGATCGACTTTCGTAAACTTGACTGACGTCAAGTGCTAAAGTCCGATGGAAAAAAGAAAATAGCACGCGATATTGGCCAAGTTTCCAATTTACACCACACCAACGCCTTTGCCATTGGGAAAAGCGGAGCTTTTTGCTAGATTTTCGCTGGTCGATCCAGGCTTGGCCCGAGTAATCGGCGAGGGTTTCGTAAAATCGCGTAAGTCCTTGTCGAGTATCGCGCGTTGTCTCCCCCCGTAGGCCGGCTCCCATTGACGTCAGTCTTTCAGTTTGCGAAGTGGCGAATCCCCGTGGCACGGTCGGCTAAAGAGAGAACAACGATGGAGGGGCGAACGGTCGCCCTCATCCCTCTCTCAACCCTTGCTCGCCCCTTTTAGAGGGAGGGGTGACAATACAGTGACGTCACACGACCCGCATCTCATACCGCCTCGAGAGATCTATTTGTTCGCGTTATCTATGAGCAGATTAAAAGAGCGCTTGTTGATGTCGACGGGGTGTCATAAGCCGGACGACACGTGTAAGTTATTTTATGACACTCGTTCAACCTGCTCGAACGTAGCATTAAAAGTAGATACTGTCACGTTTCCATAGATTACGATAAATGCACGAAACGCAAAAGTTATAAACAATGCTTCCACTTTTATGAAATGATAAATTGCTGAAGAAATAAAAAATAAAATAAAATGCATATATAATTCTAACATAAATGCTGGATTAATGTTGTAGATATTTAACTAAAGTAGAAATATCGCGTACATCTCTTGTGGAAAGAATTTCGAACGATTGTGTTGCAAAAACGGAAAGAGATATAATATTACGCAACTCTTGAACTCGTATATTACAATAGAGAATTATATAATTATTTTTTCAAATAATCGTTAAAGTAACATAAGTACAATAGTATTCAGTCATTAAGGAGATAGATAATAGTATGATGCTTTTAATTTATATATGAGCTCAGTTGTAAAATTAGTTGATACATTTGCGAATTAGATGTGTGATTGAGTGTTTTAACAATCGACCTGGCATTCTCGCTACGACCCTGCACAACGTAAAATGTAACGAGTTCGTGGAAGAGGGGTGGTCCCGAAGGAACGGATCGATGTTCCCGCTGCGTACTAAAGGACGCCTGTTGATATGAAACAGGAGCAGTTTCATTCATGAAAACGGCAAACGGCATGGGTCCTTGCGTCATCGAGGACACGCCGACGTTATTTCGATGCAAATGCAATTTTTATTGGCCTTGCCGGAATGCAAATTCGTGCGCATTTGTATTAGTTTTTGCAACGAAGTATATCACTATTTCCTAAATAAAATATCTCTATATATATATATATATATATATATATATATATATTGCATTTTCAATTTCTAGAAAAATTCTACTAAAATCTTGCCAGTGAGATTGAATAGAAAGATAAATTTTCTAGCTATGTCGTTATTTCGCATCAGACATTATTCCCAGATAACCGAGTTTGTTAAAAGCAGATTTCATGAGATCACATCTGTTGGAGGCTATCAATAAAAAAATCCGACAAAATTGGCAGAAAGGACTTACCGTTTTCCAAGTTGTTGACGAAATTCTGGTAGAAATCCAGCGAAATTAGCAATCATAACGTGACGGCAGGAAATGAACAGATCATCAGATGTAGATAAACTCAAAATGAATTCTGCGTGGGCTGGATGTCCCAATAAACATATTGTTCTCTTGTCAACATTTGACAACTATTCGAGCTGAGGTTAGTTATAGACACCACATGTCATCTAGCGGCAGCTTGCTACACTTAATAATCACTTGAAGATAACTGTCCATTCGAAGGTAACTGTCCATTTGAAGGTAACCGTCCATTAACTTTTTTCTCGCTAACAAAAAAGAAATAAATAAATATATGATAAAAACTTGAGCAACTCAAATATAATAGTACGCTTATGAAATACTAAAAAGATATAATGCATTTGTCACTATATAATCCTCAATCGAGTCTTTTTTCTTATCTAATGTGTGCGATGCATGCGCAACAGAAAATTTTGAAAGTATTTTTTATTGTTAGAATTGTAGACAATGATATAGACGAGGGAAATGTATATTTTTCAACAAAATGAACAGTTTGTTACCTTGGATCGATTTTGCATTGATATGTTTAGACAGCATGATTATTAGCATAATTATTTCTCCTCATTCATTTTCTTGCAATAGGTCCGCGTACACAATCGTAACTAGGTTATACATACTAATCAAACGCGAGCATTCTAGAGAGTTTCAATTTAATACTCAAATATGATTGGTCGGTTTTACGTATATCTATTCTATAGTCGATTCGTTCATACTACTGAAATTCTGCTTACCTTTACCTGCTGAGATTTAGAAACGCGCACTGTTACATTCTTATTCGTCTGTTAAATACCAACCGATTATTTAAAATATTTTTTTCGCCGTTACATTGACTTTTATTTCTCTTTACTTCAGTAACCTAAGGCTCTCTTGAGAATTGTTCCTAGGCAGTGACAATTCTTCTTGTTTTGATTGTGCTTCCGTGTTGCGAGCTGATCAGCTGTTACACTTCAGAGCAGCTTCGAAATCTTTCAACGAATTTGGATAATGCTATAAATATTTGTAATTGTGGAAATCGTAAAGCTGAATACTCCACAATGAGCTTTGAGGAAGAAGCGGATCGCGTACCTTCATCCAAGGATAAGTGGGTGGCAAAATTGGAGGAGAACTCCTACATGCAAAAAACGTCAATGAATAACCTGATCATGAATTATTTGGTGACAGGTGATTAATTCTAGCTTCAGTCATTCAGTTTATTTGTTTTCTTAAGGGAAATGTCTAAATAATTAAATGTTTTATTATACAGAAGGATTTAAGGAAGCTGCTGAGAAGTTTCAACAGGAGGCAGGAGTAGGTCCAACAGTAGAGTTGAGTTCTCTAGATGATAGAATTCGTATTCGGGATGCTATACAGAATGGTCGTATTCAGGAAGCTACAGACTTGGTGAATCAGTTGCATCCCGAATTATTGGACAACGACAGATATCTGTACTTCCATTTGCAACAGTTACACCTGATTGAATTGATACGCACAGGTAGAGTCGAGGAAGCGCTCCAGTTCGCACAAGATCAACTGAGTGAAGCTGGAGAATCCGATGATAATATACTATGCGAACTAGAACGTACCTTGGCACTGTTGGCTTTTGATGAACCACACAAGAGTCCTTTCAGTGATCTTTTGCACCCGACACACAGACAAAAAGTGAGTAATAATTTTTATTTTGTTAAATTAATTTCCCAATTTTCAATTTTTATACTATTGCAGATTGCAAGCGAGTTAAACGCTGCTATATTGAAGATGGAGCATAGAGAATCGACTAGTCCACGATTGAATAATCTGCTGAAGATGATACTATGGGCACAAGATGAGTTAGACAAGAAAAAGGTGAAATATCCTAAGATGACTGATTTAGGCAGTGCTACAATCGAAAATCCAAAATAATTTTTGTAGACAAAAAAGACTGGAATTGTATCTTAATTTTATTTATAAAAAATATGAAATTTATTCCAAAATGTAATTGAGTGCAGATTGCTGTTTGTGTATTAGGAAATTAGGTCTAAATTTTAATCTTATATATCACAATTTAGAGGGTAGATATTAACGTAATTAACATAATATTATAATAAAAATTGTAATAACATATTGTTATAATATATTGATGTAAGAAATATAAGAGACTTATTATAATATTTCTGATTTATTTCCTGAAATTTACTATTAATATAGGAAGAGTAGATATTTTCAAATTTTGTACACAATTAATAACATTATTTGTTTATATATATATATAACATTCACGAGAAGACATTTAGTTTCACATTGGTACACATGTATGTCTTTGACTTTTAGCCATTCTGTGCAATTGTAAAGATGCGTACAAATGTAACATGTCATAAAATATTGTATTAATGTATTTCAAAAAAAGTAATAATGTCTACAGACACCTTACAAAGTATCAAGAAATAATATTGAATGATTTTAGCATTTCTTTTTTAATTTCTTTTTTATACTACATATTCATGCTCAAACAATGTAACATTCAATGTATTAATCAGTAAAATAGCTACCAACCAAATACATATTCCATTGCTTTTGAAACCAAACCGGTCGCTTTTTGTGGAACATTTTCTGGTAATTGCGCGGTTTGTGGACTAAAATGTTGATTGTAACCCGCTGCCAGCGATCTTATTTTTCGTCGTTTCGATATGGGTGATACATTAAATGGGGATTGATTTGTCCTGGCAATTGACGAGAGCGATCTCATGCTACCATTTAATTTAGAGCGATTCTCTTTATCTGAGCCTAACACAACCCCCTCATCTGTACACGGTATAACACCAATCATAATCGAACCAGAAACGATACTACCATTGCATGCAAGAGCTCTTTGTGCTTCTTGTTCTGACGCGCACTTTAAATGTATCCAATTGCTCTGAGGCTGCGGAGGCTGGTGTTTATCTACTATGCGAACTCTGCTGGAGATATGAGATAGAACGACATTCACATCAGTGGGTAAGAAGCCGAAAACAGTTACCCATTGCAGCAAGCCTTGAGATTCGCTTGTGTTCAAGTTTATCGAACTGTCCGGAAACAACAGCGAGGTGTTTACAGCACTCATCATAAGCTTGGATTGATTTGTAGATACAGGAGTCATAGGCGGATTTGTAATTGATGTATATGGTGATGACACTTGAGAGATTTCTAGAGTATCAAATAACCCACGCGTTGGAGGTCCACCTGCGTGATTCTTTGTGCTCATTTGTGGTGTGCTAGGAGTCGTAGTGTTCCCAAATACTGCCTTTTGACGATTAGACCGATAATCTGGAGTTCCATAAGAAATTGGTGACATCAGACTTGTATTGGTGATGTTCAAATGACGTGGATTATCTTGAGAGTTTATTACAATGCCTTTTGGTGGCTAAAAGTGAAGAGAATGTTAACAATACAATATTGCACATTTTCAAATCTAAAAAAGATTATATTCTTACAGTATTAGTGTCACCCAAGAGAAAACTAGGTAAATAAGCTGAAGAGCTTCCTGGACTACCAGGACTTTGGATAGGACTACTCAAAGGTGATCCTAGAGTCATGGGCTCCATCTAATAAAACGATAATTTATAAATAACAGAATATTTTGAGAATAATAATGTTAATAACGTTAATTTCTATTGTAGAAAATTAACATATAATTATCTGTTTATGCAAAACGCTGTAAAAAATTGGCTTTAGGATGACTTTTTTAGGTTATTTTTAGGTTAAAATCACAAATTTGTATAATAGTTGTCTAACGTCACATTTAAAATACTTGAATTGAATTACATTCAAATTATTTAAGCTATTGAAAAATTCTTTACCTTTAAAGCAACTTTAAAACCGCCACAATAACTAATGTACTGTTATCAAATTATTCATGAATATTTAAAAAACGTTTGCACTTTTAAAACTAAGTGACTCTGAAAGTCGTCAAGATGAGGAACCAATCAAATGCTAAATATCCATGAGGCTAATTCATATGTATTTCATAAAAAGGTCCTTTTATGAAAAATTCCTATTGGGTGCATCCAGGACATCCAGTACTACAAGCGCTCACTGAGCGGCTAAGTAGCAGTCGAATGTGATTGGTGGATTCAAAGGTAAAAACCAATCACATGTGTAATTTCATTCTAAATACTTTGGCGAAACGCAGTTGGCACAACTGAAAGTCGTATTTCCGGAAGAGATTTCGAAGAGAGTGTGTATCACTTGATGTCGGACGAAAATGACGAAAAATGTGAGATTATTAATATGAATTAAACAATGAACGACTTCTAACGAGAAAGGATTCGCCTCTCTTCATTAGGTAAATATTAGATTTAAGATTGGAAAGAGAACTTGCGCTGCGTAATATAGAAATTGTAGTGCGCCGAGCTGTACCTGAATTGCTCAATATGGCGTACTTTGCGGACGAGTCTAAATAAGTATACACGATTTGCGTCGTCGCGCAAGAAATAATGCGGAAATGAGATCGGTACAAATTAAACAATGGATGATTTCTAACGAAAAGGATTCGCTCTTTTAATGGCAAGTGTTAGATTTATGATCGCGAGTCTGTTGCTATTTAGTTTTGTTTATTTCTTCAATATTTGAGGCGAAAGAGAGTTGTGCTGCGTAATGCAAAATTCGAAGCGCGCCAAATGGCGCCACTGTAGCTCGTGATGACTGGCTAGTTTTGCGGTGGAGTTCGAATAGTGCTTGCGCGTTGTCGTGCGGAAAATATCGTGAAAAATGAAAATATCGGTGCGAAATTGCGTGATCGGTGACTTTGCGAGAAAGAATTCGTTCTCAAATGAATGTGAGAGCTCGGTTTGAAGACTTTCCATGGTTACATTCTTCAAAGGAAAGATAACCAATATTTCTTTTTAGCGGGAAGAGTGGTGAAAGGCGGGAGAAGGAAGACATTTCCCGGGCTTTTTATTAACCGCCATTTTATCGTTAATAATATCGTAGCTGAACGAGAACAACTTGCCACCCTTCATTTAGCAACTGTTAGATTTAAACTCGAAAGCTTGTTGTCATTCCTTGAAAGTTTGATATGTGAGATGAGACTTGATGGGAAGCGAGATGGCAGATTATAATAATGCTGCAAAATTTGAAGGTTGCTGAACTGAAACGTATGTGACTTTGCAAGAAGAGATTTGTCTTCTGTGGCCGTATTCCTTAGAAAAAAGGTAACTAATGCCCAAAGAATTAGAGTAAGGAAAAAACTTTATAATTTGATGATTAATTGTTATTTTGTCATCAATAATGTCAGGATCCCTTGAATAGGACAAGTTTGCTACTTTTCATCAAACACTTGTTAGATTCAAGCTTGAAGACCTACTATGACATTATTCTTCAAAAGTTTGATACATGATAATGGCAAAAATAAAGGAAATGAATTATAGTAAGTGTGTAATGCAAAACCTGAATGAAGGTGAAATAAAGATATGGCTACAGATAAAGAGATTACAGGAGGGAAAGGAATTTTCTAGATTAATTTTTAATTGTTATTTTGTTTTTGATAGTGTCATCAATTCTGGAAATAAATATTTGCAAAAAGCATAACATTGAGGGATCAGGCAGCTTCGAGGGATCAGGTAGCATTGAGAGACCAGACAACATTAAGGAATCAGGTAGCATCGAGGGAGCAGGTAACATCGAGGGATCAGAAGATGAGCATGAGAGATTGAGTAGCAGCTAACAGATGCAATTAACAGATCATCAGAACGAGTGACAGGAGAATTATCAATGAAAAGGGTGAGTTATTAAATTTTTGTTTTCTTTAGCCTTGCTGATTCTTCAAATATGACAAGCGTTTGTTGACGAGACAATATATTACAAAATATTGCAAAAAAGCATGTTTTTTTTCACATTTATAATAATCTTAAACATGCAATACATTTAAATTAAAAGAGAAAACAAGTTTTTACATTAATTACAAGTTGGAAAAACTTTTTATTATATTATATTGGAAAGGAAATAGATTTGCAATCATTATAAGGCAGGAATTTAAAGTGCTGGGAAGGAGTGACGATGTTTGGCAGTATTTATAATGATGAATAATTTTAATAACGATGAAAATTATGTACATATTTACAGGCTTGTAAACACTTATCGTAATATAACATGTATTAAGGGCCTTAACGCACTACTTCGTATGAAACATGTTTCGTTTCTACTTGATCAATAGATATAAACACAACACCTTGCGCAAAGTTGCGCGGTTTATAATTTTACGCCTCAATGCTTGAAATCACAATGCAAAATATTTCATTAGAGTCTATACGAAAAATATATTGAAAGGATCTATTTTGAGCGTATCGAAATATTGTGTGCTTACGTTGATTTGAAAATAATAATACAAACGTATTGCAAGCTCACGCTTTCATCCTAAAAAGAGCAAGAAAGATCCTAATTTATCTTTCAACATTATATTTTATAACTTATAACATATCGATCTATAACAAAAGATATGTCAAGATGACTTTAGATTAGAATTCTGAAAATTAGTTTTTCTTTTGAGCCATTTAGAAATATAAAAGTATTATAAATTTACTGAAAATAATTTTTGAAAGAATTTTTCTTCAGGAGATCATTGTGTCTTTCTTTTTCTTAGATATTTACAATAGCGATTTGTAATAGAAATTTGAAAATATTGCTTCTTCAATTTTCTTCATACATATATTAGAATATTATTCTCTTTCCATTTTCGTTAAACATCTTTTTTTCTATTTACTGCAGGAGAGTTATAAAACTATCTCTGTTGATGCACTTTTTCGTTTCTTTTATACATAATCTCTTATCTTGCTTCTATTATTCAACCGACGCGAATAAGTCTCGCCAGATTTATATTCGGGAGTAGATACGCAAGAAACTCTACCGTTTAGACAAGCGGAAAGCCAGATGCGGGTTCTTTTTCTTGCCCTCGATTTAGGATATATTTGGCTCTTTTTAGGATAAACCATGCGAAGTCGTTGCGGCACCAAAAAATCGCAAGAGAAGGTCTTCTTTCTTCTCAGATATGTGTCAATTTTTCCTCGTATGAGTGAGCGACGGATTTTTCCTACTTTACAAGGGAAGTACACCATTTGCCGCGTTGAAACGGAATTCCGTCAAATATTTGCGCCGAGTATTTTCCGCCGAGGGCAAATGCCATGAGCAAAAGGGCGCATTCTCTCGGTCCGGAGAAAATAGGGAGGAACGTGATGTCAAGTAACGACGCTCATATCGAGAACACGCATATTTTTTTCTGTCGCGCGGTTTTCTTTTTTTTTTTTTTTCTTTTTTACATTGAATACTCTCGTGGATGCGTTCCATAGGCTTCGCGTAATACGAGTTTCAATCACAATAACATTTTTCTTGTTATATTTTTTTCTCGTGTAAAGCAATAATATATATAGCGCATTGGCCCGGTGTGCTCGGTAACAGCGCTCGTTTTTCGTCAAAATACACCGTTGCATGGTCGAAATATTCCCAGCTGGCGTAATTGCGTATCGATCGGCGCCGACAGGTTCATAACGCGCGGATTGCCCATGGTGATTTTCCGGTCTTCGTGCTACTTTCATATACTTTCATGCTTCGATATACGTATGTATTTTTTTCCTCGCGATTGGAGCCTCGCTTACGCTTACGCGGAAGTGCTTACGATAAAACCATCTCGAATCGATATAATAGCTATGGATAAAATGACCTTAATAACGCTCGTCAAGTAACTAGGTATGCTATAATGCTAATCGAAAAAAACTTTATTTGGAATCATTATTCAACAAAGTTAGCGAATAACCTACACAGTAAACCATTAGTCGTTAAAGTTTCAATAATATTGGATACTTTTTTAAACAAACAGCATCAATTTTGCAATAAACTCTTTCTAAAGTTTTAATTAATCTTTAACAAAACAAAAATAATATTATTTTAGCCTAAAGAGTTTAATGTTTAGGATTACTATTTTTTTTTTTTTTTTTTATTATTAGAATTAATCCATAATAAAAAAAATAATTCAACTCTGCAATTTTATATATGATATACAATATGCATCCAAATCTATTCGAATATTGATGTCACGTCATATATTATGCTATTAATTTTGTTTTTTGAACACAAAATATCAATCTCAAATTTTTACTAACATGTAAATTTTTAATACATTTTATTTATATGCATTTTTTCTTGCGCAACAAAATATAATATTATTTTAACCTTAAAAGAGTGCCGTGTTTTTTTTTGAAATTATATTCGGAAGAATAATTTGGTTTCACAAATTGTTTATGCTATGTATTTGTACACAAGTCTATTGCGCTATTAATTAACACTTGGTGTAATTCCCTTGTGTCGACGTCTAACGAGAAAACACCGATTCAAGCGGCGTTTATTGATACTGCCCGATATCGGCCTGGAATTACGTTATTGTTAATTACGGTGACGCGTCACGGACGAGCCTAAGTGGAGGTCCGTGTTCCTCCTCTTAGGCACGGCCGGTGCGCGCGCGCGCGCACGCGGCCACTGGGATATTTCAATATCGATCGAAAATACGATAGTAATTCCGTACGCGTGACATATATCCGATATGAGATTAACTATGCCTTACAATTAGTCAGAAGAGGGACGACAGCGACCCGATTAAGCGTTTCACGTGATTATCGAGTGGGGATTCACTTCAACCTCTCACTCGTGATGCGAATGACCTATGACCTACGGGCCGCGCGGCTATTTTACATAACGAAACGCTCATTATAAAAGATACACACTCTCGAGCGAGTCACGAGTCAATTCTTGTGTGATCTCACACGGCGATGCATGGCGTAATGGCTTGGATGGAGAATCAGAAGTTGTCAGACAAAAGCTTTCTTTCAAACATCATTATTTTTCTTTAAATATATTTAGAATGTTGTTATATATAATGGTGATCAATATTGTGTTACATTTTACTTTAGTGAGCAGTGTTTGCATGCCGCTTCCTTAGCAGCATTCGACACTCGGCTATCTTTATCAACCGAGACGTACTAGAAATAAAATTCACGCGCAGGGTAACACAGTGAACTGAGAATATTCGGAAAGATGATAAAAACGGAAGCAAAAAATATTTGTAGACGTCTCATCAGCTGCTATTATCGCGCACTATAAAGAATAGACGAATCAAGAGAAGTCAGATTGAATTAATTTTTGCGAAAATAAATATTCATCTTCGAAATTGAGCACCGAAGCCTGGACATTTATAATTTCACAAAAAAATTCTTCAAAATTTTTATTAATTTGTCTATTTTTTTTTGCATTTTTTGCAATTACATGATTTGCTCGCCGTGTGTAAGGGCAAAAAATCGCTCGCGACCGGCCTCGTGACTAGCATTAACTCTGTTTTGTACGGAGAAATCGCTGAGGGGGAGACGCGGGGAGGAACGTAGCGGGTGGACGATAGCGATTCCGTTGAAAGCGCATTCGCGGGGCCCAGGCGGTGCCCGAGAGAAGAAGACCCCCTCCCCGGAATATGTCGGAAGATCGTTATTTGAACGCCGCGCAAAGATGCGACCGCGCCGCGTGAATAAATGATATGTCGTGAAAATAGAAAACCCCTTTATAAAAATCGTAGTAAGAATAACATCGACGTATCTCGAAAGCGGTACAAAAGACAAGCGTCTTACCGCGACGCTCCTCGCTGGAGAGAGACTTTTTGGACGATCTAAGACGAGCGCGCGGAGACTCGGATCGATCGCGATCGTCCGCCCCGCGCGCGCACGAGAATACATTTAGAGTCTAGAGAGCGTACCGCCAAAGTGGGCTGTGGGGCTTTATCGTGCGCCGGCGACGCTTGAATGGACGTACACTTATTATATGTATATCGATATGGCGTTAATTATGATTACGCGGATTAGGAATTAGTTAGATAGGGCGTGAAACCGATCTCCTACAACGTTCATAATGATCAGGAAGCAACGTGGAAAAAAGAGTCGTTATTATCGCACGACGACGATCGATGCGATCAGGACGACGGCGAGGATTGTCCATTCGGCTGCGAGGCACGCGAATCCTGAAACATCAAATTGCCAAACATTAAACACGAATATTAATTAGTTTTCTGAAAAAAAAAATCACTAATTGCTTTCTATTCGCGAAAGTAAAAGAAATTCCTTGCTCAGAATAAAGCTTGACGTTGGTTTTTTCATTACCGTCAAATTAGATCTCGTTCAGATTGATTTTTCCAAAATGTTAAAAGATTTTTATGTTGCGCATAATTAAATGTGTAAAGATTTTTACATTTATAGAGCACCGAAAATAGAATCGCGTGGGTTGGAATATAATTGTCGACGATACACTCGCCATGTGGGTGTCGCACGAATAGAACGGAGACTGCGGAGGATTGTAGCGAATTTGCGACGCGCATCCCTTAAACGGCTAATTCGGACGCCGAACTATATCCCGCGTATTCATTTCGTGAAGCCCGAGCCTCGTTCTTGCCGTAATTTAGTCCGGGATTTGAATGCAGTGTGGCCGTAATTAATCAGTTTTTATTGCACGACCCGGGCGATAGCACTATCACGGATTAAAGCATCGAGTAATTAGTTCTCCGTTGTGATTAATGTACGCTTACGGGGATTCCTTTTAATACTTAGGGCTTTAATCCGCGATACTCCTCATTGCTCGGGCGAGCTTTTCGAATGCGGAAGCGAATTTTCGCGTGTAACACTGCAAAACAGCGGCTTATATTAAAATAATGTTCACCGCGAAACAAATATAAATATTCACGCAAACAACGAAATGCTTGAATATTCGCCAAGTATCGAAAAGCGCATCGGGAATATCTGTATTTACAATCGGTTTAGATCGCAAAATATTTTTGGTGAAAAAACAAAAATCGAACTTTAATGCGCTGTGTATTAAACGCGCACACGCGACTGCGAAAATTACCGTCGATAGCCGCTGGATCGGGCTAAGCTAACGAAAAAAAGTCACGGAGGTTGCGTGCAAAAAAATACAGGAAGTAAAAACGACAAATGCGCCGTAATATTTTACAAACTCGGCGCGCTCTCATGCCCGATTGCTTCGCTCTCCGGTATATCGAATCCGACGGCGGAATAATCTAGCGAGCGCGCCAAGTATTATAATGGGAATTTATAACTCCGCGCAGAGAGCTTGACCTAAGTGAATTTTTTATCGGCCGCATCCCGCGCTCGCAATCAATGATTCACCGCGCTTACGCACCTCTCTCCGAACCGTGCGTATCGCAAGAATTGCGATGGGAGTTGAGTTTCGTGAGAGCGAGAGTGTAAAAGAACACGGGAACAATTAAAAGATGAGCTGGGATGCGAGATTCCGAACGCGAATTCTTTTTTTCCTTTTTTTTTTTTTTCCTCTCTTTCTCTCGCGAAACCAATTACGCGAAATTGCATTAAGTGAGGAATGCGTGAAGATACGCGCGAAGTTGCCACCGGGAGGAGAAAAGAAAAAAGTGAAACGTTATATTTCACCTTCCCGACAAGACCGGCGGAATCAACCGCGATTCCGTTAATTGCGATCGTACGAATAATCAACGTCGGCGCAGCGGGATCTTAAATTATTTCAACTTATGTTACCAACCGCCAGACAGGGTAAAAGCGGAATTCTGCATCGGAGGGTTAATCGATACGCGGAGCAATGTTGCGCGATTGCGGTGGAGAGTAGGAAAGTATACGGGGGGGTGCGCACTTACCGTTCGCCAGGTCCTCGCGAGTGTGGCTCTGCGCCCGGCTCTCGCGGTGGTCTATTATAGACGGTTTTGGAACGCTCTCGCCGCCCTCCACGCTCTCCTCGTTGCTTTGCCGATAGACCGTGGCTATTGTGGCCAAGCACTTTAGCTTCATGTCGCCCCGCCGGAAGTGGTTGTTCGCGACGCGAAATTCCAAACTGAGCCTCGCGGTCTGCAGACCGTTTTCGTCGGTCGCGATAATGCGCGGCCCTTTCAGATATTCGGAGTCGACCTGAAAATAATCGGCGAATGATGGCATATGTCTCGCAAAACTACAATACTATTTTTAACGTGACCGGGACAATCCGGTCGAGGGGGCGGGAGGATTGATGTAGAGGGTGGGGGGGGGAGGGGTGAACAATTAGATAGATTTTTATTTGGGACGCGGATTCGCGACCCGGATTACGCAGCATCGACGGCGTCCAATTAGATGTGCGGTAGATGGAAAACGGATACGCGATTCTGTAGAATGCAATTTGAAAACAATTAAGAACGAAAGATTGCTCTCTTTTGATCCCAAATGTGAATTTTTTTTTCGCCAAATCAATTACGCAAAATTGCATTAAAGCATCGAGGCAAGATTCTAATTATTGCACGATAACGATAATAATATTCGCCAGCAACGCGGGCGCACGCGCGCGCACTGCGGAGAGATAAAGTTATTTTAAAGTTAATCTTTAATTCAGTTAAGCTCCGCGTCCACGGGGTGGAAAATTTCGCTCGGATATAACGCGATAAAATGAATTTTTACAAAAAAAAAGACGCGGTTTCTGTAAACATTAACGACACATAAATGGGATCGAATAAATGGAAAATACATAAACGTCGGGGATTTAAAATCGATATTCAATGTTGACACGAGAGGCGGTCGGCGTTTCACTTTTAATTGGGGCACTCGGGCGGGTGTTTTATCGAAATAAATTTTGAATTAGCACATTATCGGTTAGTATTTTTCGAGACTAACGCAAATTGACGCGTGCGACGCGCGTCCACGTCTTCGTAATGAAAACAAAGTGGAATGAAGTCTTGATTTATTTAGCAAATTGCATATACTGCAACTCTCTCTCTCTCTCTTTCTCTCTCTTTATTCCGCTTTCCTTTCTAACGAGAGATACACATTTCATCGCGCTCCGCGTCGGTCGGAAAAGTTTAGCGAAGCGTGAAACAAAGGCTGCAATTATTTTGCCGACGGTTTAAGTGTCTCACTTACCGGCTCGTCGTTGATGAACCAAGACAACAGCGCAGCTGGTTTAGAAGGTGCCGACGTGCAGTCCATGCGAACGAAATCGCCCACCTGATACTTGGAACGACCGTGGGTTATCTGCGGTCCTTCGTTAGGTAGAACTGAAACGTTGCCATGACCCTTTCTAGTGCTATTGTCGTTCTCCCGGATTAGATTCCCCTTATCTTACCGCGTGCATTTACTGCACGTATTCATTTATCTAGTCTTGCACTCTCGCAAATTTTACTCGAATAACTACCGCGCTAACAGCTCACTTTTAAAAATACAAAATTCCTCCGTGTACTTTAGCTCCCTTCTTTTGTAAATTTCGATTTTCGTCTATCAGTAATGTCGATCTAAAGTCGCGAGATCGCAAATGAAGACTCGACTTTCGTTGCGAGCTTTTCATGTTATCTCGACTTAATCACATATATTCTTATTTTCCATGACAATACTTACCGACTACAGTCATATCCGCGTGATCCGAGACCGTCTGAAAGGCGGGCGCCTCGGCCGACACCTCGCATCGATACCTCCCCGAGCTCGTCAGATTCACGTTGTTCAAGACGACCGAACTCTCGGTGGAATAGTTGGTCTGAATGCAAATTCGCGATTACAAGCTGCTGCGCCCGATCGAGCGTGACGCCAGGACCTGCGCGATGCGCGACGACGAACGAACCAGATTCTATCAGAGTCGAGCAAAAACCTCGTCGCCGTGAGAGTCATACAAAGTGCATTGTACCTCCAGATTGAAGAAAAAGAGGAAATTAAAAAAATATGTGATTATAGGTTCTTTTGTCGTACGAGCATCGCGCAGTTCCGTTAATTCGCCATTAATTCGCGACAATTTCGGAAACGAATGCCGCGTCGCTAGAGGTGCTTGGATTTCGTGCAAAATCAATATTTTTATTTATCCGATATGTCCGATAACGCGAATATACAAATAATTAATATAAATATCGAAACATTATCGTCCATAAAGTGCGCTTTAAGTGATTTATCGCGACAGAATTCGGAATAGAATTCTATTTGTAATTTTATGTGCCGCGTTAATACCGGAATCGTACGAAAAATCAGAACGCGCACGATCTGCGAATTATATTAGCGGCATGTATTCCAATTCTGCAAACGTTTTTTATCACAGATAGATTTCCATCTCGAATTCTGTCGCGAACTGGATCATCCAAAGCGGATTGAAGGAAATGCATTGTTAAGGGATAACGGGTTTTCCTTACATCGTCGCGGGAGTAGGGTCAGGTTATACTACCGTTTCTAAGCATCCCCAGGTCCCCTGAAACTCGCACTCACGTTCACGTTTACGCCGGCCACCGGGAACATTAGCACTGTGGGCGCATCTCTGGGTGTATAGCGATAAAATTCGTGGCCGTCCTTGTACCACTTCACCGAGTACAATAGCTCTTTGTCCAAGTTGAAGTTGCACTGCATGCGCACCGTCTCATTCAGCACGACGTGCTGCGGTATCTCCAGGGACGTCATGCGTAGGGCGACGACGACGACGATGCCTGCAAAAGATTCGGTATTGCGGTTCTGTAGGAGGATTGCGCCGCACAGAGCGCAAGTGGAAAGTGGACCCTGCGGAGTCTGCCTCTGTGACGTGTCCCGTTCCCTCCCTTCGTTCTTCCCGTAGCTGCAGTTGTAGCTGCGTGGGAAACTTGGCGAATTCACGAGGGGCTCGTGACGTTCAGAGAGACAGACCTCCGTGCGCGAGCTTTCCGCCGCAATCGCAATGTTACGCCGAGCTGCAATTTCAATCTTCAGCGCCGACACGTCACAGCGACGCCGATCAATTCGATGATAATATTCGTACACGCGTAATAACCAGGCGTGTACAGCCTGAGCTTACCGCTCCGTGAGTCACGTGTGATTCATTGTAATGAGCGCTTTTTGAATTATACAACGTGTGTGACTCATGCTTTCTCTCGCACGCTTTTGTAATATATCTCTAGTCGTGCAAAATTTACGTCATTTGGATATCGGGAGATGCAAGAATTATTGCGCTATTTATACAAAGAAATTTATTCTTTTATCACTGGAATATTACCGTTGCTCCAGTTCCAAGTTACAGATATAAATAACAGATTTATCTTTGCTACTTTTTGTTTGCGCGCCTTTATATTATACGAGATACATGTAATTCGCAGAAAAGGTGTAGACATGCAGAAAGCGTAGCTGAAATAAATTGATCTAATATGACCGAATGTTCCCGCTAGACTCGCGATTGCATGTCGAGGAGCTGAAAAGCGTCTGACTTCGATATCGATTTCGCGGAATAATTGATAACCGAAGAACCGCCGAACGCGAGCTCACGTCCGCCTTAAAATTGCAACAGTCTTTGAGATGTTGAAATTTCTCCGACAATGCAGTCCCTTGTTCGCCTTTCTTTCCTCAAGATGTAGCGAAGCTTTAAGCTTATACGAGTGCTGTTACACAAATGCATGCTATATACGCCAGACAATGACGCAAACTCGCGCGCAATCTTTCACAGTCATAAACAGAGCGACGCCGAAATCGAGAAGAGTGCCGGCTCTTTTTTTGAAATTAAAAAAAAATACATTTTCCATTTCGGGATAGGTATCTCGTTTGCTCGCGGGCAATTTTTCGCGGATTTTAATTGAAAAGAAGTTTAATTTGAAGCATGATTGCCGAAATATATAGCGTTACAAATTGAAAACTTGTAATACACGTGGCTTCCGGACCAATTTTTCGCCAAGAAGAAAAAAATGTGCCGCGAATTTTTCACGGGGGAAGAATATGAATCGGGGTTTGCAAACATGCGTGTTACAAACGAATTAGAAATATCCGCGCGTTCCGCGCCGTAATTATGAGTCGGCGCGTCGCGCGATAATGAAGCCGGATACGCGAGGATGTATATTCGTCAAAATTCTTCCCGTTGTATCCGCGATACCCTCTAATCACGCCGGGCGCTTTTGTCGAATGATAAGCCGCAGGAGTGGGGAAAATGCCTTCATAAACATCAACACGCTCGCGTCATTAACTAGTCTTCTCTCCTTCGGAAGGGTGAAACGCGGTGATTACCCGAATCGAGCCAATGTTTGCCGGGGGTTTAAAATTCCGTCGGTGGGTTGTCTTAAATTAAGTCCGCTAATGAGCGGACCGACGGGATGAGATTGCACGTTTATATCGCCGGCCCCTTTATCGCTGGTGTTCGCGCGCGACGTCGAGCACGCACGCGTTGTCATTGATTCTGATAAGCATCAGAGGTCACGCAACGCCACGTATCGCGCGTCCAGGCATCGCCATTAAAATCGCCCACGCTGCGCACGCTATTATTAGAGGTAATTAATTTTTTCTTTCATTCGTGTTGTACGGCAGACTCGGTTAGGAAGTCGTAACGCGTATAATACGAGAGAGCGCGAGCGAGTTAAACGAACGGATTAACGAAGAACTGGAGCGAGCGAATAATCGCAGCCGCGAAACATAATCGATCACCGCCGGACGAACGATCGTGTGCATTCGTCGATTCCTTCGCCGATTCGTCGTAACCGTGTGTTTGCACAGTCTCTTAAAGTCTCTTTCCTCGTTCTATCTCTTAGCTGCAGATCTTTCCAAGAATTCGAA